GGAAGATATTGACAGTAACACAATAATAGTACAGGACTTTAACATCCCACTTACATCAATGGATAGATCAGTTAGACAGAAAATCAACAAAGAAACAGTGGCTTTGCATGAGACATTGTACCAAATGGACCTAACATATATTTAAAACATTTCACCCTCCAAAAGCAGAATGCATATTTTTTAAAGATCGCACAGAGCATTCTCCTGAATAGATCACCTTAGGCCACAAAATAAGTCTCAGTAAATTAAAAAAATTGAAATCATATCATGCGTCTTTTCTGACCACAATGATATGAAACTAGAAATCAATCACAAGAAAAAAATCTGGAAAAGAATACCAATACCTGGTTGCTAAATAACCTACCAGTAAACAATGAATGGGTCAACAAATAAATCAAAGAGGAAATAAAAAAATACACAGAGACAAATGAAAATACAACAGTCCAAAATCTTTGGGATGCATCAAAACCTATTCAGAGAGGGAAGGTTATCACAATACAGGCCTACTTCAAGAAGCAAGAATATTTCAAACAAACAACCTAACCTTACATTTAAAGGAACTAGAAAAAAAATCCCAAAGCCAGTAGGGGGAAATAATAAAGATTAGAGCAGAAATAAATGAGGTAGAGACTAAAAAATACAATAGAACAAATCAGTGAAACCAGGAGCTGGTTCTTCAAAAAGATCAACAAAATTTATAAGCCTTTAGCCAGACTCATCAAAAAAAAAAAAAAATTAAAAAAAAAAGATGCAAGAATCCTCAACAAAATATTAGCAAGCCAAATCCAACAATACATTAAAATTTTTTTTCAACATGATACATCACATCAATAAAAGGAAGGATAAAAATATGACCATTTCAACAAAATGCAGAAAAAACATATGACAAAAGTACAGCATCCATTCATGATAAAAAAACCCCAACAAAGTAGGTTTAGAGGGAACATACTTTAACATAATAAAGCCGTATATGAAAAACCGACAGTTAACATCACTGTCAATGGTGAAAAAAATGAAAGCTTTTCCCCTAAGGTCAGGAATAAGACAAGGATGTCTACTCTCACCACTTTCTTTTAGCATATTATTAAAGTCCTACACAGCAATTAGACAACATAAAGAAATAAAAGGCATCGGTAAGGAAGAAGTAAAACTTTCAGTATTTGTATATGTCATGATACTGTATATAGAAAACCCTATAGACTTCCCCCCAAAAAACCACAAACAAACAAACAACTCACAAACTACTACAACTGATAAATGTATTCAGTAAAGTCATGGGATACAAAATTAATATACAGAAATCTGCATTTCTGTACACTAATAAGTAGCAGAAAGAGAAATTAAGAAAACAATTGCATTTACAATTTCATCAAAAAAAAAATACCTACGAAAACATTTAACCAAGGAACTGAAAAACCTGTACTCCAAAAACTATAAAACACTTGATGAAGAAATTAAAGATAACACAAAGATATGCTGTGCTCATTGATTGGAAGAACCAAAATTATTAAAATGTCCTTACTACCCAAAACAATCCTCAGATTTAATGCAATTCCTATTAATACCCATATTAAAATTTTTTTTAAGTTTTATTTATTTTGAGAAAGAGAGAATGAACAGGGGAGGTAGAGAGGAAGACAGAGAATTCCAAGCAGTCTCCACACTGCCAGTGTAGATCCTGATGTGGGGCTTGAACTTACAAACTGTGAGATCGTGACCTGAGCCAAAATCAAGAGCCAGACACTTAACAAACTGAGCTACCCAGGCGCCCCTATACCATTTTTTATAGAAATAGAACAAGTAATATTAAAATATATATAGAACCACAAAAGGCCCCAAATAGCCAAAGAAATTTTTTTGAACCACTCTTAATATCATTTTATTTATTTTTTTTACAAATAGTTTATTGTCAAATTGGTTTCCATATAACACCCAGTGCTCATTCCCCCAAGTGCCCTCCTCCATGCCCATCTCCCCCCTCCCTCCCACATCCATCAGTCCTCAGTATGTTTCTCAGCATTCAAGAGTCTCTCATGGTTTGCCTCTCTCCCTTTCCCCCACCATTTCCCCCCTTCTTCTCCCCCATGGTCCTCAGTTAAGTTCCTCCTAATCCTCCTATACATGCAAACATATGTTATTTGTCCTTCTCTGCCTGACTTATTTCTCTTAGCATAACACCCTCAAGGTCCATCCATGTTGCTATACATGGCTAGATTTCATTGTTTCTCACTGCCATGTAGTATTCCATGGTATAGATAAACCACATCTTCTTGATCCATTCGTCCGTTGATGGACACTTAGGCTCTTTCCATGTTTTAGCTATTGTTGAGAGTGCTGCTGTGAACATTGGGGTACATGTGCCCCTGTGCTTCAGCACTCCTGTATTCCAAGCAGGGTAAATTCCTAGCAGTGCTATTGCTGGGTCATAGGGGAGTTCAACTGTTAGTTTCCTGAGGAACCTCCACACTGTTTTCCAGAGGGGCTGTACCAGTTTACATTCCCACCAACAGTGTAGGAGGGTGCCCGTTTCTCCACATCCTCGCCAGCATCTAGAGTTCTCTGATTTGCTCATTTTAGCCACTCTGACTAAATAGCCAAAGAAATCTTGAAAAAGACGAACAAGGCTGGATGTATCACAATCCCAGGTTTCAAGATAATACTGTAAAACTGTAATCAAAACAGTACGGTACTGGCACAAAAATAAACACATAGATTATTGGAACACAGTAAAGAGCCCAGAATTAACCCCTGCTGATATGGTCAATTAATCTAAGACTAAGGAGGCAAGAATATACAATGGGGAAAAGATAATGTCTTCAACAAATGGTGCTGGGAAAACTGGATAGCAGAAGAATGAAACAGGACCCTTTTCTCACACCATACACAAATATAAACTCAAAATAGATTATAGACCTAAGTGTGAGATCTGAAGCCATAAAACTCCTAGAAGAAAACATAGGCAGTAATTTTTTATCATCAGCCATAGGAACACTTTTCTAGAAATGTCTTCTCTGGCAAAGGAAACAAAAGCATAAGTAAACTATTGAGACTACACCAAACTAAAAAGCTTCTGCACAGCAGAGGAAACCATCAGTAAAACAAAAAGGCAACCCACTGAATAGAAGAAGAGTTTTTAAATAATATGTCTGATAAAGGGTTAATATCCAAAACATATGAAGAACTTATACAACTCAACACCAAAAAAACCACAAATAATCCAATTAAAAAATGGGCAGAGGAGCTGAACAGATGTTTCTCCAAAGAAAACATCCAGATGGCAAAAAGAAGCTCAACATCACTCATCATCAGGGAAATGCAAATCAAAACTACCATAAAATATCACTTCACACCTGTCAGAATGGCTAAAATAAAAAAACACGAGAAATAACAAGGTTGGTGAGGATGTGGAGCAAAAGGAACCCTTGTGTACTGTTAGGTAGGAATCCAAACTGGTGGAATCACTGTGGAAAACAGAGGTTTCTCAAAAAAAAAAATGTAATTACTGTATGATTCAGTAATTCCACTACTGGGTATTTATCCAAAGAAAATGAAAACACTAATTCAAAAAAATACATGCACCCCTAAGTTTATTCCAAGTATGGAAGTAACCCACGTGTTCACTGATAGATGATATATATTATAATAGAATATTACTCAGCCATAAAAAGAATGAAATCTTGCCATTTGCAACAACATAGATGGATCTAGAGCACAAAATGCTAAGTGAAATAAGTCACAAAGATAAGTACCCATATGATTTGACTCATATGTGGAATTTAAGAAACAAAGCAAACAAAGGGAAAAAGACATGAACAAAAAACCTAAGAGAACAAACTGGTGGTTGCCAGAGGGGAATGTGGATGAGGGATGGGTGAAATAGATAAAGGAAAATAAGAGTACACTTACCCTGATGAGCACTGAGAAATGTATAGAATTATTGAGTCACTGTTTTATATGCCTGAAACTAATACAACATTATATGTTAGTTTTAATGAATAATAAAAAGAAAAAGAAACATACAGAAACAAAAAGTTTGCCGACTTATAAAGGTTAGAAATCTTTTTTTTTTTTTTTTTAATGGCCAACTTAAACCCTTTTTTGAGTTGAATCCAGCTGTGGAGTTTTACACTCTAGCAAAATGTAGGCAGTGGAAAGAGCTTGTTCTATGTTCTCTCCTGTTCTATGTAGTTTTACACTGGGTTTCTAGAGTTACGGCTTGACCTTTTGGTGGCCCTCAATTTAGTAATTCCAGTCTGAAACCAAAAATGGGTGTTTTGGGATGCCTCCTCCAGGTTTCAGGAGGTCTCTACCAAATACTGTCTAAACCCCTCTTATTTTGATCCAGTTTTCCATAGTTGACTGAGACACTTGGCAGCTTGGGGTTTAGGGCTGTAGATACTTCCTTTCACACCAAAGAGGAAATTTTCCTCCTACCTTTCATTTTTAAAATGTTATTTTGGTCTTGGAGAATTGGGGGTAAAAGAAAAACAATCCTTACTTTATTATTGTCAATGATGAGGACCTCAAAAATTTTCTGCTTGCCCAAAGCCTTTCTTTCAAGGAACTTATTTTCTTGGCAGAGTATGAAATGCTTGGACAGTACTAAAAACTGAGAAGTAAAAGAAAGATTAATTGGATGTAATAGATATTGCTAGACATTATTGCTAATCACACTCATTTCCAAGATCTATGAAAAATAGGATTGAGTAGGTAGAAGAATCCAAGTGGGCTTTTGAAGAAATACTTTTATAGATTTAAATATATAGTCCCCACTGTGTTCGTAGCAATTGTGAAAACATGAACACACCACCTGCTTTCTGTTGGGAGTGTCTAGGTTTTGGTTCTTGAAGCTGTTGCTTAGAACTTCATCAGATTGTTTTGCTTGTTAAACCCATGTGATAAAATAAGGAAAATTCTCTTGGAAAATTTAAACTGTATAATTTAAAGTGTAAAATGCAACTAACGCCTCAACCTCCCGTCCCCATTTTTTCTCTTTGTAGTATGACTACGAATATGATGAGAATGGAGACAGAGTGGTTTTAGGAAAAGGCACTTATGGGATAGTCTACGCAGGCCGAGACCTGAGCAACCAAGTCAGAATCGCTATAAAGGAAATCCCAGAAAGAGATAGCAGGTACAGTACTTGTGGCTAATAAAAGCTGTTTTCAAGGTATTCTGGGTGTTGATGGCATTTTAGACAATATTTTGGTGATATTCTAACTAATGAAACTCTGTCTGAAAACTCCAGTGTTTTAATCATCCCCCTGTAAGATTTAGCTGCTTCGTTACTCAGTGACTCAAGCACAACTCTCTGGTGGGGAATATGGTCTCTCTTAGGTGACAAGGACAGAACTTTTAACGAGTAGAAAAGATGATGGCCTGTGTGTACTGGGCTCAGTTATGTCGGAGAATGGTTGATTCGTTAGGCAGATAGATGGGGAGTAAGCATGATCAGCAGTGGTTTGAACCAGAAATTCCAGTGTACAATCCAGCATCTACGGAGCTTGGAAGTCATCCCTCTGTCAGTGGTAAGCTGACCAAACTGAGAAACCAACAGCTCTTCCTGGACTCATTGGAGAAGTGAGGTCACAGGACCAGCCACTGCCCCCAAATTTGGAAAGACAGTCATGATGGGGTTGCATACTTGGTGAATTTTGCCTCCAGGAGCCCTACTAGATCATCACAATAATATTGGAGAAAAACTTCCTTGTGTTTCCAGCAGGGGGAAGAGGGAGAGTAACTATTTTGAAATCTACTCTTCCTAACAAGGCCTGCCCTCTCAAAAAGACTATTTTTACGAGGGCCTAACCTATGACAGTGTTACCAGAGCCTAACCAGCCAGGAGAAAGGAAATAACCTGACTCCTGCCCACTATAGCCATCCTGTCCCAGCTGAGGGCAGCAGGGGAATGGGCAGGAGAGGTCTGCAAATCATTTGTGAGGCTCATAGCCTGGGGGCACAGGCTCTTTAAGAAACTGAAACCTATGGGGCGCCTGGGTGGCTTAGTCGGTTAAGCGTCTGACTTTCGCTGAGGTCATGATCTCGCGGTTCGTGGGTTCGGGCCCCGCATCGGGATCTGTGCTGACAGCCAGCTCAGAGCCTGGAGCCTGTTTCAGTCTGTGACTCCCTCTCTCTCTGACCCTCCCCTGCTCACGCTGTCTCTCTCTCTCTCCTAGAAATAAATAAAACATTAAAAAAAAAAAAAGAGAAAAGAAAGAAAGAAACTGAAACCTAAACATGAGACTATAGTATGCTTCCCCTCCCAGAATTCCTTTTACCTAATACATCATGACTGACTTCCAACAAAAATTACAAGGCATACTAAAAGGCACAAACACAGTTTGAAGAGACAGATTGAGATACGGCAGGGATGTTGGAATTATCAGACCAGGAATTTAAAACAACTTTAATATGCCAAGGGCTCTAATGGGTAGATAGCACGCGAGTGTAAGCAGAGATAGAAAACCTAAATAAGAATCAAAAGAAATGCTAGCAATCAAAAATACTAACAAATGGCGGGGGGGGCGCCTGGGTGGCTCGGTTAAGTGTCTGACTTTGGCTCAGGTCATGATCTCAGGGTTTGTGGGTTCGAGCCCCATGTCGGGCTCTGTGCTAACAGCCAGCTCAGAGCCCGGAGCCTGTTTCAGATTCTGTGTTTCCCGCTCTCTCTGACCCTCCCCTGTTCATGCTATCTCTCTCTCTCTCAGAAATAAATAAAACATTAAAAAAAATTATATAAAAAAATACTAACAAATGGGGCACATGGGTGGCTCAGTCAGTTAAGAATATGACACTTGATTTTGGCTCAGATCATGATCTCATGATTTGTGAATTCAAGCCCCATGTCGGGCTCTGCACTGACATTGCAGAACCTGCTTAGGATTCTGTCACTATCCTTCTCTGTCTGTTCCTTCGTCCTCCTCAAAATAAATAAGTAAAAACTTTAAAATAAAATCAAATCACCTTTGTAACTTAAGTTTATTCATCCACCAGTGTACATACATAAAGCACAGCAACAAAGGTCCTATTCTGTAGCAATGCATTTGGCATCATGTGAGTTGTTTGAAAACACTTGCATGACAAGTGCTTCTCTTAAATAGCTGGCACAGGGCATCTTCTTGTCACCTACAAAAGAAAAGGTGACATCTGTCATGTTATTGTGCCATACAACACACAAAGGTATTTCTATCTATGTGCCCTGGAGAGCTTTTGACGTTGCATGTAAAAAGACAGCAGTTCTAAAGGACAATTGCTAAGATAATAGGATGCATGTGAATAATACATGATCCAGCATTCACTACACATGGCCATCTGGAATGAAAGATCATAGCAATGGAAACAGTTGCTTCTGTGTTTCATTCACACTTTAAAAACACTTGTTAGAGAATCAGAGTAGTTGTAGCAGAGAGGTGGTGGTGGATTCATAATCTGTCTCAACTAGTTGTTATTTTCAGATTGAATTCCTCCTCTAACATTCTACACATGTCTGAACTATTTATTTAGATCAATTATTCTCTACCCCGCTGCATATTAGAGGCAGCTGGGGAACTTTAAAAAATGCTTGATGCTCAGGCCTTATCCCACCAAATTCTAGGGTGGCACATACGCATTGATATTTTGTAAAAATCCTTCCACGTGAAATGTCTGCCCAGGGCTGGGAAGCATTGGTTTAGATGGATATAGTGGGAATTTGACTCAGAGCAGGTGCTCTGGAAACACATATGGATCAATACTTTTTCAAAGCTAAGTATGTCTAAATATCTCTGATTACCTATACCACTTCTTTCATTGTCATAGCTAATAGAGAAGAAATGAGATTTTCTTATAATTCCTATAGATAAGCATTGCTTATTGACTTGAACAAATTGTAATTTCATGCTTATTCGGTGCTTGGCACTTACTCTTTCACTTAGTGAGAACTGCTGAGTGTCACCAATCAATGTCATATTGGAGAAGAGTTCTTATTCTCAGCTAGGATGAATCTTGACTATTATTATAACTTTGAAGTTATCCTTTGGTTACTACATATTGGAGGGGACAGGGGAGTAGCGGATTTCCTTTTCCAGAATCTTACATTTAAACATTCATGGTTGATTTTCAAGGAGGTGGGACCCCTATGGTTCATCATAAACTGAATTAATCACTTGCTTCAGATTATTTAGTCATCCTGATGACCTAAATCTGTAGAATAGACCCAATATTTGCTACTAAGTTATCTCATGCATATCAAGAGCAATCTTATTAACTAATGTTAATAAAAGGTCTTAAATACTATGGAAAAAGTAACTTACATACAACTGTCCTGAGATTCATAATCTAAATATCTTATTGGTTATACTCTATACCATTATTTCTCATGTTGTCTCTCTCTGTTATCAAAATGGAATAGTCACTAACTGATAACCTGTTAAGGGGTTCAGTATAATACCTACCTTTATACTTCCTAGAGCAGTTCTAAAGAAAAATAAAATGAGTAAAAGATCTAAACTAACAAGTCAATTTTTTGTTCTTGTTGGCAGCATCCTGAGTAATATACAGATTATAAAAGTTTGTTTAAATTATGAATTTGGGTTTTTGTAACCTGCTAATTGCTTTAGCTTTGTAGCTTATCCTGAAAATCCTCATGAAAATAGTATTATTCAATACTAACCAATTCTAGAATTTGTTATTGGCATTCAAGAAAATCCATTCTGTTTTTATGGACTTGCCATTGTAAGATCTAACCATTTCTTTCACGTAGTACTAAAGCAAATGAAGCATCAGGTTTGTGGTTTAGGTTTTAGTGGCTAGTGCCTTTCATACCTGTAACCTCCATTGTACAACAGAAAAAATATTAGAGAATAGCTTTGAGTCTCTAACACCCTACCGTAGTTAGTTATACAATAATCATATTAATATGATATAAATATGTAATATAATAGTATTTAAGATTGCTAATAGTCTACAGGCTTTATAGTACTTTAGATAATCATCAAAACGTTTGTTTTGTCTGTTCCAGAAATATAAAACACTTTCATTGTATAATCTGATAAAGCAACACGCATCAGGTACATGATTTTGAAGTCTGGTTTAATGCTGGCCTTTCAGCATGGGGACCAGGTTAGGATTGAGTTAAAAAAAAAAATCCTGATATAATAGAACTGATAGACCCAGTAGGGATGAGGATTTATAAGGAGCTCAAGGAGTCAGAATTTAAATGGTTTTATGTTTTCTAAAGAAAAGTTGCTGGAGGGGTGTCTGGGTGGCTCAGTCGGTTGAGTGTCCAACTTTGGCTCAGGTCACCATGTCACGGTTCATGGATTTGAGCCCTGCGTCAAGCTCTGTGCTGACAGCTCAGAGCCTGGAGCCTGCTGCAGATTCTGTGTCTCCCTCTCTCTCTGCCCCTCCCCTGTTCTCACTCTGCCTCTTTCTCTCAAAAATAAATGAACACTGGAAAAAAAAAATTAAAAAAAAAGAAGAAGAAGAGTTGCTGGAGCTTTCAGTAAGCCCTAGAATGAAAATGAAAATTATTTGAAATTTTTATCTTCCTGGGCCAGAGTCTCCTATAATATTAGAGTTATGTTATGAGGCAAGTGGAATACGAAGTCATTTAATGTAGACAATGACCTATATGGGTGTGTTCAATTTTCCTGGGCTACTATCTGTTACTTATTAGCTTTCTTTAAGATCTTGGGTAGGTTAGTCATCTCTTGGTGAATTAATTTCCTCATCTGTAAAATGGGCATCTTAAAAGTACCTTCTCCTAAGGTTGTTGTGAGAAATGAGTACATACAATAGGCTCAGATCAGTGCCTGACACATTTCCCCACAGATTCTACCCACTACCACTTCAACTTCACAGAATTTATGTTATGAGAAATAAAGGCTTTAGATAGTCATTTTTACTTTATATATATTTAACTGATGTTTTCAATTTGTATTGCTTAAATTTATACACTAAAATCTGGCTACATAATTAGCTCATCAATATATGCATGTCTTTCAGATACTCCCAGCCCCTACATGAAGAAATAGCATTGCATAAGCATCTGAAACATAAAAATATTGTCCAGTATCTGGGCTCTTTCAGTGAGAATGGTTTCATCAAAATCTTCATGGAGCAGGTCCCAGGAGGTAAGAGATGTTCTTCTTTTTTAAAAAAGTATGTGTAAGGGCTTAAAGAGAACAAGGGAGTGGGACTTACAAGTTTACAGGTCTTACTTCATCCAAGTTAAAAGAAAAAAATTAGATTATATTCATTGCAGCATTATTTACAGTAGCCAAGATATGAAAACAACCTAAATGTCCCATCATTGGATGAATGGATAAAGAAAATGTGTTTTGTATACACAATAGAATATTATTCAGTCATAAAAAAAGAGTGAAATCTTGTCATTTGCAACAACATGGATGGACTGTGAGGGCATTATGCTAAGTGAAATAAGTTTTCAGAGACTTATACAGAGAAAGACAAACACTATATGATCTCACATGTGGAATCAAAAAAAACCTCAAAAAACAAATAAACAAACAAAAAAAACAACTCAGGGGCACCTGGGTGGCTTAGTCAGTTAAGCGTCTAACTCTTGCTTTCTGCTCAGGTCATGACCTCATGGTTCAGGAGTTCAAGCCCTGTAGGGCTCTGTGCTGAAAGTGCGAGCCTGCTTGGGACTCTTTCCCTCTGCCTCTCTGCCCAACCCCCCAGCTCCCATGCCTACTCTCTCTCAGAATAAACAAACAAACAAATAAATCCCAAACAAGCCAACAAAGGAACCAAATTCAAAAATAACAAAGAACAGAAGCAGGGGGAAGGGTGGGCAAAATGGATGACGACGGTCAAAAGGGCCAAGCTCCCAGTTATAAAATAAATTAGTCCTTGGGGATGTAATGTACAGCATGGTGACTATAGTTAATAACACTACTCTGTATTTGAAAGTTGCTGAGATGTATACAAATATCACAATGTATATAAATATCAAATCATTATGTTGTACACCTGAAACTAATATAATGTTATATGTCAAGTAGACCTCAATAAAAGTATTTAAAACATTTAGACATGTGACATCAGCTTGCAGTTTATTAGGAGGCAGTAAAAATATCTTCAACGATTTTAGTATCCATCATTTTAACTGGATTCAAGTTAGGGACTGAGGAGCCTTTTATTTTGACTGTATTTGATAATGAGTATCTTCAGAGCAAGGGGGACACTTTCCTATTCGTATATGAGCCCTGGTGTCTAATACTCCAGTTCCTGGAGTAAGTGTTAGCTTAAATTAATGTTACATTATTAACATACTTTAAAGAACTCATTTGAATAAGAATTTTTCCACTGTTTCTCCCTGCTTTACAGGAAGTCTTTCTGCTCTTCTTCGTTCCAAATGGGGCCCATTAAAGGACAATGAGCAAACAATTGGCTTCTATACAAAGCAAATACTTGAAGGATTAAAATACCTCCATGACAATCAGATAGTTCACCGCGATATAAAGGTAGGATGCATGACGATTCCTGGTTAAAAGTTCCTTGGTGGGTAACTGGTTTTGTTTTTTGTCTTTTTGCAAAAGTCATGCTGTGTTATGGGTATTAATTTAGAATCGTGAATCAATAAATCCTAGAAACAGCAGAAATACAAGATACTAACTCCTTGGCTGCTCTGAGTCAGTCATTGATATTCATGCGTTCTTCTCAAGGAATAAACCTCTTAACTGTGTTCCCCCAAAAAAGATTGAGTTTCTGCTGCCCACCTGGCACTGTTTGTGGTGCTCTGGGGAGGGGGCAGCACAGCAGAACAAAACTGGACAGGATACGTTCCTCACCCCTGAGGAGATCACAGGCTGGTGAATCTTTGTAGTCTTGCCCAGAGTTGCTACTCAGTAAATATTGACTGCATCAATGGATAAATGACTAGGAGGGAAAAAAAATAAGATCCTCTTCTCACAAGTATCGTATACTCATTGTTTGAACTAAAATGAAATAACTTACTTGATTCTTTTTAAAAAGAGAAAATTCAGAATTAATAAATTTCTGACAAAGGTGGGGCTGTGGAAATGAAGTTAATATTACTATCAACCCAGATCTCATTTATTTGCCAGATCTCTAAGTATTCCAGGAAAAGAAGTAAAATAACAGAAAATACAATGGGAAATCGTGCATGTCATATTTGAACTTAATCACATACCAGGGACCCCTTCTGTTCACAAACCACAGCAAATCCTGACCAGGCACCTGTTTTGACCTTGTGGCTTGAGTAGCACATTGTGAATTGATAATATATAAACAAAAATGGTGTTAAGAATTCACTCTGGAAGTTAACTATTAATAAGGAGTACAGAGTTCGTGTCCTTGTTTACTCTGAGGGCACTTTTTCCTATTGGACTTAAAAAACAGTATCAGAAGAAAGACCAGTTTTGATTCAAGTCTTTTGTTCTCTAGGGTGACAATGTGTTGATTAATACCTATAGTGGTGTTCTCAAGATCTCAGACTTCGGGACATCAAAGAGGCTTGCTGGCATTAACCCATGTACTGAAACTTTTACTGGTATGTTTTTGCAATGATGATACAGATCTTATATAATTAAAGAGATAATTGCTGCGTTAGAGCATAATGTGAGAGATAAAGTCAGTCTGGGTTCTCACAGACATTAATGTCGGTATCTTTTGATGCTCACTGAAAACTGTTATTTAGAATTTGATCTGGCTCTTTTCTCATCATGTATTTCTATTGCTCAGTCGCCTGTTTAATGCCACTGAAATGTTTTTTTAAACTCTCAATTTGTTATTTGTTTTCCCTTTCATGTCATTACATCTCTCCCGGTTAGCCTACAACCACTATAAGCCCAACAAGACTTTTGTTTTTTGCATGTTTTTAGCCCAACCTCTCTGTGATTCTTACTCATACCTTAATCACTTCGCATTTGAACTATGAGTTCCTAATCTGTTTACTCCCTGTGGCCTATTTCCTACTGACAACATAAATAACCAGTAGAATTTCAATTCAGAAAGAGGAAGTGACTCATCAACTCAGAATTGGGGTGGGGGAGAGAGCTTCCCTGAGAAATTAGGCAATTCAGCCACCAAGCTACCTCTAGAACAAAGTCCTGGGGGAGTGGAGACAAAGTGATTGCCAAAAAGCTAACAGTAGCCTAGAGGAAACCACCACGGCTCAGAGAGATTAATGATTGGCCCACAATTAAAGGAGGGCATCAGGAACTTCACCTCTGGTTTTTATGCTCCATTCTGCTGATTCTCTTGAAGTGCTAAGTCCTTGTTATTATCATCAGAGAAAGAATAATTTAGCAAAAAAAAAAAGGTAATGAATAATCTCTGGTTTAATAGAAAGCAATATGGCCAGCTATCTCCATTTTTGAATCCCATGAGATAGGTGGTCACACCTCAGTTTTGAAGATGAGGAAATTGAGAGAGAAGAGAGATCATAGCCAGAAGTCACAACTGTTTTTAACTGCTAGAACTCAGATTTTTAATCTGGCCTTTGCTCTTTGCTTTGATCTTCCTGCTCTGGTCCACGTTGCTGAGGTATCTGTTCCCAAAGCCTGGGAGGAGAAAAGGAGAGAAATTCTGTAAATGTCCTCAACACATTCGGTCAACAACACATCTGACCCAGTTCCCACCCTCACAGCAATGGGTATTTCAGGGCACAGCACTACATAGTGAAAATATATTTTTCTGAACAAAATTAAATCCATCCTGCTAGTAACTTTAAATGTCTTTCCATTTCTTTCCTCATACTCTCTCGATTTGGCAAGAGAACCTTTTAGATGCTGCCAAGACTCAGTAACTTCTGACAGGAAATCCCTACTTTCAGACATTTTATTTGGACAGGATGTTAATTTAATAATATCTTCTTGCTAATCTTAAAGACATGGTATTTTTTTTAGTCCCCAAAAGAGTTAGTAAAGCAATCCTCCCAGAGCCCTTTGCTTTTCTCACGCGGGCTTCACGTGAGTGACACGTGTAACTAATGTTGCTGGTCAGAATCCAGGGCTAATCAAGAGGGCTTGGAGGGGGCACACCACCACCTTGGTGGTGATCTGCTTGCCACCATAGGCCTCACGGCTGCTTAGTCAACCTCTAACAACCTGACTTGAAAGATACTGACCTGTTTCACTTCTTGGTGATTTGGTGAGAGGGAAGGCAGCATTAACCAGCATTTCGAGAGTGCTTATGGTATACCTGGCTGTGTTAAGTGGTTTACATACATATTTCACTGAAATTCATATATGAACCCTGATCCTTAAATATTAGTATCCCAGTTTATGATGAGAAATTAAGGTTCAAAGAGGTTGAATAACTTGCCTGAGGTCACAGAGCTAGTAAGTAATAGAGCTAGGATTCAAACTAGACTTAACATGCCAAATGGAATTAATTGTCTTCTCCCCAAACCTGTTCCACCCACACTCTCCCCCATCTCACGTGATGGCCACCCAAAACCTAGAGTTGTCCGGGATGCCTCTCTTTTCTCACGCCCCAACCCAATCCGCAAGGAGATCTACTGGCTCTACCCTCAGGTGTCCCAAACTGGACCACTTCTCACTGCCTCCACCACTGCTACCCACATCTCCCACCTGTGTTGCCTCCATAGCCTGTTCTCCCTGCTCCCACTCTTGCCCCCTACTGTCTGTTCTTAACACTGCAGCCAGAGTGATCCTTTTAAAACAAATCAAGCTTGTTACTCAGAGACTTCAGTGGCTTTCTGTTTCATGCAGACAAATGCCAGAGTCCTAATATTGTGGTCCATTCAGAGTCCATTACCTTCTTGACCTCATTTCCTCTCTTCTTCCCTTGCTCGCTCACTCGCTCTGTGCCGGAAAACTGGCCTTGCTGCATTTCCTTCCTGCATTATACCAGGCAGAGTCCTGCCACAAGACCTTTGCACATGTTCTGCCTTCTGCTAGTAACACTCTTCTCCCAGCTATCTGCATGGCTAAGTCCTTCTTCTTCAGGCTTTAACTCAGATGTCCTCTCAGTGAGCCTACCATGACCACCCTCTATTTACATGGCAGCCCTCCCTGGGCATTCCTGATCTCCTCCCTTTTTTTTTTTTTTTTTTTTTTGTCATTAACACATCACTTTCTAACGTACTATATGACTTACTTATTTACTACATTGTAGTTTAATGTGGGTCTCCCGCTGCAAAGAATGTAAGCTCCATGAGCCCAGGATTTCTGTCTGTTTACTCCACTGCTATATTCTTAGTGCCTGGCCCATGACAGGCCCTCAATTTAAATGTGCTGAGTGAATGAGAGGATTAAGTGGAATGTCAAAATTTACACTTTTAGCCACTAAGTTGTAGTGGTTCCAAGGGTCATTACAGTGGCAGAGAAATTCTAAGAGATGATTTTAAAGTAATTTTTTAAAACTTTGGAATGAAGATGTATAAGATACGGGTTTTCAAGTGAGTACTCTCACTTTTTTCCACAGGCTACTATACAGATTGGCTTGCATCTTCATTATGAAGCTCTGTAAATCTTTTTATATAAAATATTATGTCATGTGATTATGGAATAAAGAGAACAGTCATGAATACATAACCAAACCTGGGTTTTTATTGTTGGGTTTTTTTTTTTTTTGGCACTTTCTCTGTGGGGGATAATTAAGTGCAATTGTCAGATAGAGCTCTTTGAAGTATTATCTGTGAATAAAAACATTGCATAACTTATTAAGGTATTACCTGAATTGTTCAATTTTTAATGTTCACTTTATTGTTAATTGTTGTAATTTCTACACAGATATTAATATAACTTAAATTCTCACATCCATTCTTTTTTCGATCCGGATATAACAAAAAGCGAGTGGTAGGCTTCAACACATATTTTCTAAAAGACCGCTTGATTTTATTTACATCATAAAAAAAAACCAATCACTATAGCTTCGTCAGCTATAAATTAAGAGAAATCATAGCAGTTTTTTACTAAGGGTAGGTGATTTGTGGAGTGAAGGTGAAATATTCTTGGCTAGGTGAAATGTTTACCTCCAGTAATGTTGCTGATTGAAGCTGACAGGAGGCATGTGCGGTGAACTTGAACATGAGCTACTGCCACATAATGATGAGAGCTGGAGGATAAGCTGGCAAGATGACAATACTAGATGAAGACAATATACTTCTATTTGGTTTTATGATCAATAGCCAGTTTCTAGCCTGTTTTGGTGGGTTTCATAGGAGCAGTTTAGAGGAACTGTACATAGCAGTTTCATCTGTAAATCATGCATGAGACGTTCATAAAAGGTATCTGTATTTATCAGGTTGTCTGCCAGTTTGGTTATGAATCACAACATACTGAAGTAGCTCTTTTAGCAAATGCCTCAGGATTGGAGATAATTGAATGTGGCATCTTGGATGAGTTCCTGTTTGCTGATTCTATCATTTGTATGAGTACATCAGTAGCAGGGGTGTGGTAGTACTCTGTTCCTGTTCACACTCCTGACTCATTGATGGACTTGGGGGAGTCAATCTAAGGTCTCTGAGAAGCCAAGCCACCCTCTTGTTTGCACCACTTGAGATAACCACAGTTGAGTGTTTGTCTGGAATATGCCAGACTAAAGTTAGAACCACGCGTTCTTGACTCCCCATTCAATGCTCTTGCCATCCTACCACACTCTCTGATTCCACATAGCGTTTTAAGTCTCCTGTGTTTCACTGTATTCTTCTTCACTCTGTGTCTGGTGATTTGTCTGTACTGATTGCTCAAGACCTGTCTCTGACCTCTTAAACCCGTTATTCCATGGACCACAGGCATGCAGCAGAAGTCATATATATTTGACTTACAGAATAGACTACACCAAAAGCGATTTACATTACTTTTAATGATGGCTTTCAGAACTTTCATGCTTTTGTGATTTAGAGATAAGAATCAAGACAGAAGAATTAACCATTTAATTTAGATATTGAGAAATATATTGGGGCGCCTGGGTGGCTCAGTCAGTTAGGCATCCAACTTCGGCTCAGGTCTCACAGTTCATGGGTTCGAGCCCCCATCAGGGGCTGGAGCCTGAAGCCCGCTTTAGATTCTGTATCTCTTCTCTCTCTCCTCTACCCCTGCTTGCACTGTCTATCAAAAATAAATATATGTTAAAAAATTATTTAAAAAAATAAATTGAGAAATATAGGTGAAGAAAAAAATGGATGAATGCCCTAGAAATTTTCTGGAAAGGTTAGAAGTATACATAATAGGAATCTTTTTGTGGTTGAAAAACTGATTGCAAAAACCATGTGTCTCTGTTGTTCTCAAATGACTAATTGTTAGAAGTTTCTAAGAGGCCCCAATAAAATGATGCCTCATTTATACTCTAGTATCTAGGAAATGAGAAAGCATCTATTCATGACCAGATCACATTGGCAAAGTATCCTTATATCCCTGAGAAAATCCATTATGACAGCGGTTATTTCTATTTTTATAAATAACCAAGAAAAATGGAACACACAAAAATTGAGGTATTGTGGCACCTGGGTGGCTCAGTTGGTTAAGCATCCAACTCTTGATTTCAGCTCAAGTCATGATCTCACATTTCATGAGTTCGAGCCCCATGTCGGGCTTCCTGCTGATGGCATGGGCTGCTTGGGATTTGTTCTCTCTCTCTCTCTCTCTCTCTCTCTCTGCCCCACCTCCTCTTGCTCTCTCTCTCTCTTTCAAAATAAAATAAACATAAAAAAAAAGATGAGGGGTGCCTGAGTGGCTCAGTTGGTTAAGCATCTGACTTTGGCTCCGGTCATGATCTTGTGGTCATGAGATCGAGCTGTGCATTAGGCTCTGTGCTGAAAGTGCAGGACCTGCTTGGGATTCTCTCTCTCTCCCTTTCTGTCCCTCCCCTGCTCATGCTTTCTTTCTCTCTCTCTCACAAAATAAATAAACTTAAAAAAAAGATGAGATATTAAGACCCAAATCATGCTTTTAAAGTTGTCTTATTTATGTTGGCAGTTAAAGCTGTCATTAGATATTCGTGTGTTTTCTAAAGTAGAAGTGTGTTTGAATTATCCCCAGGCACCCTTCAGTATATGGCACCGGAAATCATAGACAAAGGACCAAGAGGCTACGGGAAAGCAGCAGACATCTGGTCTTTGGGCTGCACGATCATCGAAATGGCCACAGGGAAACCACCTTTTTATGAACTGGGAGAACCACAAGCAGCTATGTTCAAGGTCACATTTCATATCTCTTAAAAAACATTGCATAAAGCTATTAGACATTCCATGTGTCTATTTGAAATTTTTTTAGGCCTAAGAAAAGAAGCCTAGGTAAGCACATTAACTGTGCTCACAAAGTTCATTAAAGTTCATGAAGATTCACTTTCCTCAGAGTCAATACGTATGCCTCACGCTGAGGATCTGTCTCCTCCCTGCCTTAATTTTTCAGCTATAAAGTGAGAGTCCCCATAACTTCCGCTGACTGCCTTTTCCCAATGCAACATAAATAACACACTACTTCATGGAAGATGCTTTAAGCAATTGGTAAACAGTCTGAAAATCTTCCATGGAAGGAGATGTAAGGACGTTTTTTATACATTTAAGTATTAAAGCAGTAATTCCCTTCGCTATCATAAGACTTCAGAGGCTAGTCCATTAAGAAGGGGGTGGGCATAGTTGCTATTTTAAGGACGTCAATCATATTCTTATATATCTACTCTTCTGGCCTGTTAATTTCCCCATTTGTAACTCTCCTGGGGATGGGAAGCCAGCAGCCCACCTCCCAAAATAGGAAGCACCAAATATGGAAATAGGGCAGAGAAAGCCCAGGGGCCACCGCTTCAGAATTCAGGGACTGAGCAAAGCAGTGACCTGTTCTGAGTCCCTGCAGTCCCCACCTGTCCTCACTTGCCACGCTGCCAAGCCCAAGGTTTAAACTGAGGACTTGTTTCCCAAGAAGTAAAGCTCATGTCTGCTGTTCTCATGATAAGTGGTTATCGCTTTCCCTACCACTGACCATGTTTCTAGCACTTATCCCACCTGCGAATTGCCTCCTGTGAGGAGCCATGTGTTACATACCTTCTGCTTTTGTATAAAGGTTGGCTTACTTTAAGCTTGAAGGGGATCTGATGGGATACCGCTGATGCAGAAATGAGTAGTGTGACCACATGGGAAGGGCACTGAGAGCTGTAAGAGCTGCCTTTCTTGACATAAATGAATGTCTTTCTCTTCTTGGTCGATCTTTCAATTTTCATCCGTCTCTAGGAGTTCACTCCGAAATGCTGCTGTTACCCGTCACTGCAGGGACAATTATACAATATGTGTTAGATGAGATAACATAGACTCAAGCACTGATCTACAGTGTTTGAATGTAGGTTCCAACACCGTCAGACTCTTTGGGGACTTTGGGCAAATGACTGAAGCTTCTTGTACCTCAGTTTCCTCATCTATAAAATAGGTATAAAAATGGTACCTATGTAATAAAGGTTTTTTTGAGATGTGTATGAGACAATATGTGCAAAGCACTTAGAATAGCGTCTGACATATATTAAAGGCTATATAATTACCATAAGTAACTATATATTATTATCTATATAGCAATACACTTATAAAAGGTATATAATAACAAAAAATTCCTTAGAAAATTTTCTTTACTAAATACATGAAAAAATTATTGGAAAAAATTAGAATGGCAACAATGAGAAGAAAATTCTAATTGTTATAAAAATCCTGTTTGTTTAATTTTAAAGTATTTAAAAACATCTCTATATGTCGGCAGTTTGAGACAGGAAAAATATTCACAAATCATGGCATAGGGGAAAGAACACAGGCTTTAAGCCAAAAAGATTAAGTTTTCAATCCCAGATCTCCCTTCCTATAACATGTAACCTCACTCCTCTGAGCCTCATTTTCCTCATTGATGTAACAGGGATAATATTTAATCTACTGGGTCATTGGAGTATTGAGTGGAATTTATAAATCAAAAACCCAAGCACAGTTCCTGGCATATAGCTATTATGACCAACACAATGGTCTCAATTAAAAACATCTTTCTTGCGTGCCAGTGTGCTAATGTGTTCTAAAACTTGAGGACTGAATTATTACTTCATAGTGCTGTCTCCTGTCTTAACATAACTGCTCCCGTCTATGTCATTGGTAACGTTACAAAAGTACTCTGGAAACTTTCCATAACCTAGAGAAAAAATATCCTATCTCACCTTGAGAAAAGGCATGAGTTTGTAGGAAGTAAATGGTAAAGGACTTTGTTGAGCAAGGGGACCAAGTTTTGAGTCCTGGAGCTCATGCGATGAGATGGTCACTCAGAAGTCCCATTGTGCTGTGTCTTAGGTGGGAATGTTTAAAGTCCACCCGGAGATCCCAGAGTCCATGTCAGCAGAGGCCAAGGCATTCATACTGAAATGTTTTGAACCAGACCCTGACAAGAGAGCTTGTGCTAACGACTTGCTTATTGATGAGTTCTTGAAAGTTTCAAGCAAAAAGAAAAAGAGCCAGCCTAAGCTTTCAGGTATGTGGTTGCAGTGAAGAGGATGTGAATCAGCGTCAGTAAACCCTCAGCTTTTAAGATGGAAGATTTTTCCAGAAGTAAGGTAATCTGTTTATAGATTGATATCACTGGAAATTGGTGTAAACATTAGGACAGTGTTCTCAGACATTCAGTTTTGGTATCAGGAAGCTGTCTCACCATTGATTTCACAAATGCTAGGACCTCGTCAATGATAGTCTTTCATCACCTGGTTAGCAGGCATGTAGTATATCGGTATCTAGAGGATTCTAGCATCACTGATACGAAGGTTACAGTGCAATAGGGGTGAAATACAGCCTTTTAGAGCTGAAACTTTAAATCACCACTAATGAGCTACAGGGCCATTATGGAGCTGTTAAAATTTCCAAGCCATCCAGATTCTATGTTCTTTTAATTTTAGTCAGTGGAAAATACCTATTGCCTCTTAGAGAATATTGTTTGGAATAATAACCACTCCTCCCTGCAGGAAAAAAAAAAAAAGAAATGAAAGAAAGAGAAGATTGCCAGTTATTTAAAATTTAAAAAAAAGCAGTATGAAAATATAAATTTTCTTTTGCAATAATTTCCATAGCTCATCTCAGAAAGGAAAAGCAAGTCAATGATTCATTTGTTATTGGCATTTTCGTGTTTGTTTGGGATGAGGGTGGACAGGTTGAATGTTTGGAAAAGACATTGATCCCATTTCAGGCATTCACTTTTTTGTTATTTCTGTTCAACAACAAACCCAACGTGTGTTCATGTTGTTGTTTGCTCTTCTTCCCACAGCGCTTTCAGCTGGATCAAATGGTGAGTTCATTTTTATATTGCCTCCTGAGCTGAAGCTTGATGCATTGCATAATAAGCTCTAGATTTCCCATTGAAAAGCCGCATCCTCTGCTTTTTGCCTCCATGGGAGGCTCCTGGGTGGCCAGGATGTATGCAGCTGCAAGCCAGGCTGGGCCCATTCCTTCAGAAGCCCCTCTCCTCCCTAGGAAAGCAAAACCAGGTGTGCTAACCTAATTACCAGCTAAAATCCCACTTGGGATTGTCGTTAAGTGTGACCAAGAACTTCATGCCTCCTGTTAATTAAAACTGTGAACTATAATCTGGTCTTAGTTCTCCCAAATGAATGCAAGCTGCAAGACTCTTCCTTCCCCAGGTGTTTTTATGGGTCATACACTGTTTCTGTCCAGAGGAGAGGCCGTGGCTTTACCTGAAGGGGCCTCCACCTTCAATAGCTGCACTTGACTTCCCCTCAAGAGGGAGCTGGGAGGGTGGTGCTGAGGAGGGCTTCCTTCCCCCTTCAGGATACATGTCTTATCCAATACCAGACTGCTCTCCCTTTGCCACACATAGATGCAGAGAATTAAGTAAGTCATTTTAACCTAATGCACACTTACTGTGCATTCACTGTGGGCCCAAGAAATGTGTGAGGCCCTGAATATATAAGGGTGATAAAAGCATAGTTCCTAGCTTTAAGGAGCTGTTGTTCTTGTAGGGGAGATGCACAAGGACTAAATCATCTACACCGTAGTGTAATTTAGTCAGTAGAGAGGAGGTTGTAAAGGGGAACAGAGTGACATCACAGATGTCAGTCTGTGAAAGTGGTTCCAAGGAAGACTTTCCAGTGAGGCGACCCCTGATGAATAAAGATGAACTTGAGTTTAACAGGTGGTTGGGGAGTGGAGAGCCAGATGAGGGTGGTCCTAGCGTAAGTTAGTGCAGTATGTGCGAAACCTACGGTGTGAAGGGAGCAGGATGTGGTACTTAAAGTTACATGGGGAAGAGAAGAAGTTGGAGGTGATTAAGCAGGGTCATATCCCAAAGGGCTCCACATGAGAATTAGCAAAGAAGAGTGGAGAGCTGGGGAGAGACTTTAATCTAGAATTAAAAGAATGGGATCTATTGTTCTACGATAACAGAAATGTCCTATATCTATACTGTCTGTTCATTAGCCACTACCAGCAACATTTAGCTTGAAGAGCTTGTTATCTAATATCAGTGAAAACCTCCCAAGGCTGCAAAGCGTTGAGTCCACATTTGGCCAAGCTGGCAGCTGTTTTGTCCATTCTGCAATCTATTCCTGTAAATAATGAAGTGAAACAAAGCACACGAGAGATCTCAGCAGCTCCCAGAAATATCCTCTCATAAGCAGTCCTGTATTTGGGGCCCCCAACAAACCTTTCTCCTCTTAGACAGCCTTACTATTATCAGCAAGAAAGAGGTTACTCTTTTGCTCTCTGCTTTGGCAGCACTTCCTAAAATATAGTTTATGGAATGCTGGGTCCATGAGCTGTTCCAGAAAAATGGGCATTCCACGTTCAAGTAAATCTGGGAAATGCTGCACGTGAGCAGTTTCCCCTGCCATGTATTTTGAGCCTGCCGGTTTGCACATCTCTGTACACTGAAATACGGAATTGTGGTGTTAAATTGGTAAACCCAGAGTAGCTCTTCTTAGCTTGATCTCGGTTCCTACCTTCTACTAATTCAGCGACAGCAGGTAGGTCAACCATTTCATCCTTGAGCAACTTTCTAGTTGCTGATCAGTGAGATGGGTTCCTCAGAGATGAACTATCCCTGGAAGCTGTATGCTTCTCTTCTTCCTCCCTACAGCTGGAGCCAAAGCCAGGTACCTCTCCAATACCTGCTTTCTTCACCTGAGCTACAACTGGGATAGAATAATAGAATGGCCCTGCGTGACATCTTTGATATAACCAAGGGGTAGGACGTGTCCTACTCGTAAGATTCTGTGATTAAGGAAGCTCCTGGATAGGGCTAAAAAACCCTTTTTTCTAAGACTCAGCAGCTAGGAAGAGCTTTCAGTGATAGGGCAGTACATTTTCAGAGAATGTCACTTCCTGCTGTATTCATGGGATTGTTTTTCATCTTCTGGAGCATCACTAATTGTGTTATTAGGTAAATCAAGCTCTTGGTAATACGGTGTTACCACCTGTTGAATACTTGCTGGTGAAAAATATTTTTTATCACATGTATTTTTCTGACTATAAACATAATACATGTTGATTGGAGAAGGTTTGGAAATTTTGGAACAATAAAAGAAAATCACAATCACTGCAAGTACATCTTCTAGAAATAACTACCATGAATAATATGGCATTCTTTGGCATATTTTCTCACAATTATATATACAGCATAGAAGAAAACATATCTATGTATATGGAATCATAAGGGATAGAGTCTGAAAATAGTTGGAGGAAGGGAAAGAAGAAAGAAAGAAAAGGTGTGTCTGGCTTTCCTGTATTTATAAATCGGACGAGGGCTTCTCAGACATGTCCATCTGTCTGACCAACATTGATGGCCTACTGTCACCCCCCTTGCTGTGAATCATTCCTAATTTGCAGTCACGGTGGACAGAGTCAAGAGTCCACTTGACCACTTGCTGACTGACCATCCCACATCTTCGAGACTGGGCCAGTTGTTGATTCCGCCCAGTCCAAGAGGAATTAAGTAAAAAAGGGATTCTAGGCAACAGCAGATTTCCTTTTTTATAATTCTATATCTGCCTTCTTTAGTGAGGCCTTTTGTGGTATTGGGACACTTGTTAGGTAAAGATGATTCTGGCAAAAATTACTTTCTTTGGGGCACCTGGGTGGCTCAGTTGTTTAAGCCTCTGACTTCAGCTCAGGTCATGAACTTGCAGTTCGTGAGTTCTAGCCCCGCATCAGGCTCTGTGCTGACAGCTCGGAGTCTGGAGCCTGCTTCAGATTCTGTGTCTCCATGTCTCTCTCTTTGCCCCTTTCCTGCTTATGCTCTGTATCTCTCTCAAGAATAAATAAACATTTTGAAAAAAAATTACTCTCTTTAAAATCAATATTTGTTGAAATGTTGGCAGTTGCTACTGTGCCAAGTCAGTCTCCATCAAAATAAAGGCCCTTGTCTGCTCTGGAATCACAGTGCTTGAGAACTAGAAAAGACCTGAGAGATCACATAGTCTGTTGGTTTCCAAAACTTGTGTTTAGCAAAGAACCCTTTTTCATACGAATCCTTAAGCAGAATCCTGATACAGAAGACTCATAGAACATATTTGTTTTTGGCAAAACAGGTTTGGAACCTGTGTTCTAGATCACAGAATCCTACTTACTCACCCCAACTAAGGCAGCCCCAAGATGCTGAGGTGGACCCTTAAGCCTGTGAAAAACATGGTTTAAAAAATAGGAATCTGGAGGCACCTGGGTGGTTCAGTCGGTGGAGCATCTGACTTCGGCTCAGGTCATGATCTCACGGTTCATGAGGTTGAGCCTCACATAGGGTGGCCGCTGTCAGCTTATCAGCGCAGAGCTTGCTTCAGATCCTATCCCCTTCTTTCTGCCTTGCCCCTGTTTGCACTCTCCCCGCAAAATAAATAAATATAAGAAAATTAAAAAATAAATAAAAAATATGAACCTAGTCCTTTATTTTATAGACATGAGAACTGAGACCCATAGATGACCTTCCTAATATCTGACAAATGGTCAGTAGAAATGAGAGGACTGGAACCCAGGACCGCTGCGCCTGGTGCTTCCACTTTTTCACGGCCCTGAGATATTTCTTTCTCAGGACCTTGGCCCACCCCCCTGTACTCCCCTCTGCATGGATTGGGTGGATTGGATATGGAGCACGGGGAGAAATTAGGATCCATGACTGGCCTCTTAGGTAGCATAATTTTACTAGTCATTGCAGTGATACACTTGACAATGAATATTGCTCCCTTTTGGTGAGTGTTTAGTATGTGTACATTTTTTTAATGTTTATTTTCGAGAGAGAGAGAGAGAGCGAGTATGCGTAAGGGAGGGGCAGAGAGAGAAGGAGACACAGAATCAGAAACAGGCTCCAGGCTCTGAGCTGTCAGCACAAAGCCCGGCCTGACACAGGGCTCAAACTCATGGACTGTGAGATCATGACCTGAGCTGAATTTGGACACTTAACCAACTGAGCCACCCAGGTGCCCCTAGTATGCGTACGTTTTTAGAAGTATTAATGAGCATTTCCCCTCTCGTGACAAGCAGAGTACCTTAGAAGCATATCCTTGCCTGTGCCCGTCTTGGTGGAGGACACCAGCAGCAGCAGCGAGTATGGCTCGGTTTCTCCAGACACGGAGCTGAAGGTAGATCCCTTCTCTTTCAAGACGAGAGCCAAATCCTGTGGTGAACGAGATGTAAAAGGAATACGGACACTCTTTCTGGGGTAAAGACCTGACTTACTTTGGGTGAAAGAAGAACGTCGTGGGTCGTTTTATAAAGAGCGCTGTGATTTATCCTGCATTAAATTCTTACAGCATTCCGGATGAAAATTTCGAAGATCACAGCGCTCCACCTTCCCCTGAAGAAAAAGATTCAGGATTCTTTATGCTGAGGAAGGATAGTGAGAGACGGGCCACCCTTCACAGGATCCTGACTGAAGACCAAGACAAAGTTGTGAGGAACTTAATGGAGTCTCTGGCTCAGGTAACCTCTCTCGTGGATACTTGGTTCCTAGAGTTACATACTTGCACGTGTCATCACCCCTTGGAACTGTCACAGGTGGTGTGACAGGAGGGAACTCTAGGGCTCTTGATGATGAAACCTGCCTTCCCCAGAGAGGAAAAAAAGCCAGTCCATGATGTAGAAACTACATCTTTAAAAAATTTTTACTTATTTTTGAGAGAGAGAGAGGAGAGAGAGAGAGAGAGACAGCACAAGCAGGGAAGGGGCAGAGAGAGAGGGAGACACAGAATCCGAAGCAGGCTCTGGCTCCTTCGTAGACCTTCGTTCCTACCTTCTGTCTTGGGAAAACAGCTGCAGCTGCACAAAGGGTGGAGCTGGACGGGCCAGGTCCAGTTTGTCTCTCAGTCCGACTGTCTGGTCTCAGCTTGTACTGGGATATAAATGGAACGACACTCTCTTTCTCAGCCTTTGTCTTTGTCTTCATAACTCCACTCAGTTTCATTGTTGATCCTGTCGCCTTGGCCATTCTCTGATGCCCACCTCTTTGGATCCCATAGGAAGGGTCAAAAGCCACATGTGTGTCAGCAGGGTCTCTGGGTGCAAGACCTGAAATGAATACTATCTGCACTTTCTGGGAGAACCCTCCTTGGGTCCTAAAGGAAAGCTGCCTCGAGCGGTTACTCCGAGGCCCAGGAAGGAGGGGCTCTGGGCCGAGGGGCAGCCAGGGCTCTGTGCTGGGGTAGGGTGAGTGCCCCGGACTCTGCACAGGAGTGTTGGGGGGTGTGGAGGAGACGGGAGCAATCTGGAACCTGTAGCTGTCTCCCTTGCCTTTCTTTCTGCTCACTCTGCTCATTCAGGGACTGGAGATTGGATGGCACGAGATAAGAAAGGGAACCAAATTAAAAAAAAAATTTTAAGTTTATTTATTTTGAGAGAGAGAGAAAGAGAGACAGAGAGAGAGTGGAGGGGGAGGTGAACAGACAGAGAGAGAGGGAGAGAGAGAATCCAAAGCACTCTCCACACTATCAGTGCAGAGCCCGACGCAGGGCCCTATCTCATGAAACTTGAGATCATGACCTGAGCCAAAATCAAGGGTCAGATACTTAACAACTGAGCCATCCAGGTGCCCCAGAAGGGGAACCAGATTTAGATGAAAGGTACATCTGGGCAACAATTGCAAGTCATTCATTCATTCAACAAATACTTACCATCTACTGAATCCCAAGCACTTGTCTCTGTGCTATAGATATTACAGTGAACAAAACTGTAAAAAAAATATATCCCATTGCAGCTGACATCCTAGTGGAGGAAGAAAAACAATAAAAATTAGTAACTATATAGCAGCAACACATACAGTTACAATATATAGTAACAATAGTAAACATATTGTAATAATAGTGAACATATTCAACATAAAGTAATAAGAACACTTTGTATGAGCCAGGTATTGTTCACGGTGTTTCATGTATATTCACTCATTTAATCCCCATGGCAATAGCACTATAGTAATAGTTCCTTTAGCATCTTCATTTTGAGATGAGGACACAGAGGCACAGAGGAGTTGAGTAACTTGCCAAGGCCACATAGCCCTAAGCAAAGAGTCAGGATTTAGGCCTAGACAGTCTGGCTCCAGGGTGCATTCTCTTAACCACCACACCATTCTCCTCCCCGGGTGACAGCTCCCAGGTGGTGACAGGTGCTGGTAGAAACATAAAGCAGGGGAGGGATTGGCGCCTTAGGTTGGGGAAGGAAAGGAAATCCCCATCAGCTGCTGTGGAGTGAAGACTTCTCCGAACTCTGGCTACCAGTGCACGATGCCTGTGTGAGGTCAGAAACATGGGGACTGCGGGGATTGCCTAAAGCTCATGATCACCCCCAAAGGATGTGCTCCTCCATTACAGAAAGGGATTTCTGAAGGTCCATCAGGCAGGACTGCTGTGATCATTGTCAGGGTCCCAGCTCTCGGCGCAGAGCCTGCCAAGAGACTTTACTTCCATGACTGCGCTGAAACGCTTAAATTTCGCAGTTGGTTGATCCTATTTAATTGTCTGTGACTTCCTGGTTCTTTAAGCATACTTGAATGTTTTCTATAAAAGGAGAAAGAGGAGCGCCTGGGTGGCTTAGTCGGGTAAGCGTCCGACTTTCGCTTAGGTCATGATCTCGCGGTTCGTGGGTTCGAGCCCCGCGTCGGGCTCTGTGCTGACTGCCAGCTCAGATCCTGGAGCCTGTTTCGGTCTGTGACTCCCTCTCTCTCTGACCCTCCCCTGCTCACGCTGTCTCTCTCTCTCCTAGAAATAAATAAAACTTAAAAAAAAAATAAAAGGAGAAAGAAAAAACATGTTAAAAACAACCATCAGAGGGCACGTATGAAGGGACCGGTGAGGACCAGAAACCGTGGTCCTCGCATGCTAAATCCCCCATCATCCAGTGATAGCAAGGGTCCTTCTGACTGTGTCGCTGTGACATCACATGGTGGCCTAGTGACGGAGCAGATCCTAGTCCAGGCTTACTGCTGGCCTACTTCCAGCTGATTGGGGCAGGAGAATGCAATTATTAGGAGCCTGGGCTCAGCCTCTGCTTGCCTCTGCTTGAGGTTCCACGCTGTGTGATTCAACCTCTGAGGCTGAATTTCCTAATGTATACAACAGAAGAAATGCTAGTATCTACCTCATGGAGCTTCTATAAGGAATAACTAAGCTCATGAGCAACTGAGGTAATAGCAGAGAGTGTTTCACACATGTTAGCTATTATTATTGCTGCTGTGAGCATTATCAAGCAGGCTAATCAAAGTTGTGTAATCTCTTCCAGTTTTTTCTACAGCCAGATCGAAGTTAATTCTTCCCATTGTATTAAATGTCACTAGATACATCTTTACATGTAAGCCTGCCCTTTTGTACATAACAAGACCAAAAATGGAGGTGTTGGTTAGGTCCCCAGACCAGCTCACAAAAGCCCTTTAAACCTGTAACATCCTTCTGAAGTTCGCTCATCATTTTTGAGGAAGTTTAAAGGATAAAGACTAGACAGCACCTTTGCAGAAGAATCTGGATGGCACTGAGTGCTAGGAAAGGCGCACCTATCAGAGGCCACCTTCTGCTCTCTCAGGCTCCCCCTTGGTACCCGAGATGCTCATTTGTGTAGGCACGCTAATGAATGCACAGGAACGCAGGAGGTAACAGAAATAACGATTATGTAAGTGGGTGAAATACCCCAGACAGAAAACACCTCCCAGAGTCGACAACGTTCCTTTGTAGGACAGTGGCACACACATCAAAAAGACCAGAAGCAACATGTTTTTCTGTTGTGAAAACAAAGCTAATGTCAGAAAAATGTTTGCTATTTCATCTGCTGGCAAACATGTAACTGACTTGTCACTAAGATAAGCTTCCAATTCCTGAATAACTCACATTTTTCTTCTTGAACATATTTTCATGTTATTATGATATTGCCTGTGAATCTTTACTTTGGGTGTAATTTCGTTGGTGGTAAGAAAAGAAACAAAGTTTAAAATTGTTCCCAGTCTGGTTTTAATTCCCTTAATGACAGCTTTCAAGCTTTTCAATATAATCTTTTCTCGTGAAAACATAAACAGGAGAGGGAGCTCCCCTAATGAAAATATACTGAGAGAAAGAACTTGATGGGACATTCCTTTTATTTTAATAGAATCCCAGAAATTGTAGTTTTCACAGCCCAATTGAGGAATTTAATTTTTATGATGTAGTAACAAAATGTGCAATAGCAGATAGAAAATGTGCATAATAAAAATCTCATTTCTTGAAGTTAAATGAGGATAAATAACATCCTAGTATCTCTCCTTTAAGGAAGCAGTAGCGGTGTTCCTTGTACAAAGTAGAGAAATTCAACCTGACAAAAGAAATTTGTTTAAATAGTGTACTATATTTTTAATATGTAAAATTGTCCGTTGGTTCATTCTTACAGCTAATGGCCTCATTGGTGGGTAAGGAATTGTTTCAAGGATGGATGGAGTTTGAAGTGAGCCCCCCCCTTTAAAAAATCTTTTAATGTTTATTTTTGAGAGGGACACACACACACAGAGTGAGAGTGGAGGGAGGGGCAGAGAGAACGGGGGACACAGAATCCAAAGCAGGCTCCATGCTGTCAGCTCAGGAGTCTGACATGGGGCTCGAACCCATGAGCTACAAGATCATAACCTGAGCCAAAGTCAGACACTTAACTGACTGAGCCACCCAGGCGCCCTTGAAGTGAGCCCCTTGTGGTTGAAAAGAACTGACACACTTTAAAGGCAGTTGAAGTTCTGGGGGCACGTTGTAGGTGCCTCGAGGACCAGTGAAGGAGGGGGGCGTCTTCAGGGATTCCAACGATGGTGCCTCACCCAGCCTCACAGAGACAGAAACTAGTGTGTGATTCTGAGGACCTTCACATGCCAGGAGTTTGTACGTCCTTTCTTGGGTTTGGCTGCTGTTGGCCCTCCTGCTATTATCTTTCTATTTCTGTGCGTTCCCTTCTTCTCTCCACATAAATTGTCATTCTCAACACCATTGCTTCTGTTTTCTTCCTTATAACTAGATGTACTCTTGCTGCTCTTTATCAGAGAGAGAGAGAGAACCATCTGGGGAGGTGCAAGAGAAAGGGGGGTGTGGACAGAGGATCCCGAGCAGGCTCTGGGCTGACAGCAGAGAGTCTGATGCGGGGCTTGAATTCTTAAACCATGAGATCATAACATGAGCCGAAATCGAGAGTCAGAGGCTGAACCACCTGAGCCGCCCAGGTGCCCCTCTTGCTATTTATTTATGAAATAAATAAATAAAATCATAGCTTATGATTTATTTCTCTGGGCTGACTTTGAGCTTTAGCTCATTATCTGATCTCTCTTTACTCTCCCATTAAAAGTTCTGAGAGCAAGAATTTTATTGCCTCAGCCTGTCCCTGTTTGGGCAAAGCTCTGTACATCTGACTAAATCATAGCTATTAGCCAATGTGTGGGGTTGGTACCCTTTCTCCCAAAGTCTGATTATTTTTTTGGTGGTTGGTGGAGGTTGGGTGGGGCATAGAGTTCAAATATGGTCTTTTCCCTTAGCTGGGGACACTTTGAACCCAACAAGGACTGTAATTACGGCAGGCTCATGACTCATGTGTCCTGCACAGATCAACTGACAGGTTAATTTATTCACAGGGGGCTGAAGAACCAAAACTAAAATGGGAACACATCACAACCCTCATTGCAAGCCTCAGAGAGTTTGTGAGATCCACTGACCGAAAAATCATAGCCACCACACTGTCCAAGCTGAAGCTAGAACTTGACTTTGACAGCCATGGCATTAGTCAAGTCCAGGTAGTACTCTTCAGTTTTCAAGATGCCGTAAGTATGACTTTTTGCTGATGTTTTCCCGCAAACTCCCAACTAAAATTAGCAAAATAACATAAAACGCAAGTTCTGTTACCTATTCTTTCTTTAATAACTTTGATGCACGTCTCTTTTTTGATGATTAAGTGTGAGATGATTAAGGTTGCCTCTCTGTGCTTCTAAATAGCAGATTTGTTGTTTTATGTGTTTGTATCTCCCAAAGTTAGATATACATGATATCGAACACCGTGGGAAATAGCAAAACTAACCAGCATCTTCCGTGGCTGAATTCTGTGCTTATGAAATCATGTAGCCGATCACTATTTATTTTTTTGACTTCAGCCAAAGAACAGACTGTAGTGGTACTTTCTAATTCTGTATGAGACCTGCCATCTAGTGGTCATTAAGAGAAATGCAATGGCACAGATGGGAATGATCACTAAGTAAAACCAATACTTTCTTTTCCTTTCACTTTTTCACTGGTTTCCATACACAGCACTTTAAACATGTTTGTTTAATTCATATTAATTTATCACTGAGTGAAAATTAATCCACATAATCTAATGAGAGATTGCTGAAGGCTCTGCCCTCTCAAATGGAGTTGCTGTGCAACACCAGCTGGAAGCCAGTCTTTCAAAAACCTGATTCAGAACATTACGTGCTATTCTGAATAAGACTTATCTGTGGAACTCTGTACCAAGAAGGCCTGAAGCAACTCCTAGAAGGTCTTCACAGGCTGAGGGAGACTGAAATAAGAGAGTTCCTGATAGTGCCTCAGGTATAAAATAGAAGCACTTTGCGTAATTGTATTTAAATTCCCCAGATGTGTTTATTTCTCCTACATAGATGCCTTGACAATTGTATTTGGTGCATCAAATGACCCCTCATTTAAACCCGAATTATAATCCTTCAGTGGCCACTGGTATTCTCTGAAACTCTGTGTAAGCCACTTGGTCCTTGTGCTATACTGTGGACGGGAACAGCACTCCTGACTTGAGTGAGATCCTGGGTAATGAAAGCAACTGGCAAAGCCAATTACTAATAATTAAATGCTAAAGGCACACTTCACTGCAACTAGGGAACCCTAACCATCTGCAAACAGAATGAAAGACTTTAGTGGTGTTGCACTTGCCCACGCATTTGGCTTCCAGCCTAGAGGCTGGAAAACAAGTTGGCCAGTAGAATTCACACTGAGAGTGGATTTGTTGTAATCATGGGCCTCAGGCCCAGGTGTCTCACACACGCGCGCGCGCACACACACACACATCCTTGCTCTTGCTCAATTCCTGTGCAGGATGGGAATGAACCCCAGTAATGAACCCTGTTTGGAAGAGCTATGAGGAGCAGGTCATAGTTCTAGAAGATCCCTCCTCCTGTGTGGGACCCTTGAGAGAAATGTTCCAGTTTACCAAGTGCTATACTCTGCATTAGTCACAGAGGCAGGCAAATCCTTTAAGAAATGAAGGTACCAGAACAAACTCATTCTGAGAGGATTCCTTAGAACAAGTGCGAACCTAGCAATGGTTCACTTCCTTTTAGGAGCAACTACTCCAAGGAATTCCTCAGATTGACTCCATTGTAAACTGGGTTTTTTTTTTTTTTTTTTTTAGAGAAAGAGAAAGCATGAATGGGAGGAGGGATGGTGGGGGGAGAGAGAATCCCAAGCAGGCCCCACTCTCAGCATGGAGCCCAACATGGGGCTTGACCTGATGACCCTGGGATCATGACCTGAGTCAAAATCAAGAGTCAGATGCTCAACAGACTGAACCACCCACGTGCTCCTAAACTGGGTGATTTTGATGATGGACCAAGGGGCAAAGAATAAGTAACTGGAACCCCAGCTTTTGGCAGGGGCTTACAGCTAGGTCACCATCTCTGAGGCTTCTTCTAAAATCTCTGGTCAGAGCCCTTTTGGGAAAATAGCCTCTTCTCTTAGAGGGTCATGTTGACCAGCAATTAGTGGAGTTAACTCAAATTTTAAATAAGCCTCTTTTAGCTTTATGGTAATGGTTATTTTTTTTTAATTTTATTTATTTATTTTTAGTTTTTTGAGAGAGAGCACAGTGGGGGAGGGGCAGAAGGAGAGGGAAGGATAGAATCCCAGGCAGGCTCCACACTCAGCCCAATGCGAGGCTCAGTCCCTTGACCCTGAGATCATGACCTGAGCTAAAATCAAAAGTCAAATGCCCAACTGACCGCGTCACCTAGGTGCCCTAATAATAATATTTTTTAAGTTTTATTTTATTTATTTATTTTGAGAGAGAGAAAAAGTGCAAGTGGGAGAGGGGCAGAGAGAGGAGAAAGCAAGTTTCATAAACAGGCTCTGCACAGGCAGCTGGGAGCGTGACACAGGGCTCAAATGCAGGGCTAAAACATGAGGCTCGAACTCACGGACTCACGGACTCTATGGCCATGACCGGAGCTGACTGAGCTGAAGTCAGACGCTCAACCAACTGAGCCACCTAGGCGCCCCTGATAATGGTTATTTTTTTAAAGATAATGCATTTAGCTTATACATACAGTGGGATATTATTTACCCTTCAAAAGGAAGGAAGTTTTGACATATTACACTCAGGAAATAAGCCCATGACAGAAATACCATATGATTCCACTTAGAGGAGGGACAGGCAGAGTAGTCAGATTCATAGAGACGGGAAGCAGAATGGTGGTTTCCAGAATCTGGGAGAAGGCAGGGGGGAGTTGTTGTTTAATGGGTATAGAGTTTCAGTTTTGTAAGATGAAACGAGTTCTAAAGATGGATGGTGGTGATGGCTGCACAACAGTGTGAACGTACTTAATGCCACTGAACTATATGCTTCACAATGGTTAAGGTGGTAAATTTTCTGGTATGTATATTTGACCACAGTTTGTAAAGAGAAAAGTAATGCATGTATCTATTTCAGTGTCTATTTAAATGTGTGAAATATTATTAGCCACTAAAAAAAGATACCCTTATGACACAGATTTTCAATGTGAACAGCCTTTCTGGAATATTCTGGCAGCTTCCTCCTCAGAGTCACAACACTGAAAATCAGTGTTTATTTTTATTTACACCCCCTGGGATTCTTTTTTCCTCCTTCACCACCTCCGTTATCCAATCTGCAGTCATTATAAAAAGTGGAAGTTACATGTTCTGAGTCCCAAAGAAGCAACGTTTCATTTAACCACACTGCCTTTGGTTTGCTTACATGCGGATCACCAGACTTTAATTTGAAGTGGCACTTTTTTTTTTATTGTTTTCCAATGACATAAAAGAATTATTCACAGCTCAAGGTGAAGAAACCTGGTAGTTGTTTTGTTGATAGAATGTCATCCGGTTGCTTGTGTCAGCTAGGTTATTTGCAACTAAAAATTAAAGTAGACTAAATGTCACCCTCTTTCTCCAAGGTCAATAAAGTTCTTCGGAATCATAACATCAAGCCACACTGGATGTTTGCCTTAGACAGTATCATCCGAAAGGCGGTGCAGACGGCCATTACCATTTTGGTGCCAGGTCAGAAACATTTAATTACTTTGCAAATACTTAGTGTTTGATATTTTAGATTGCTGTTTATCTGTCATTTATGGTGTCTTCCTTACTGCCTTTCAGACCAAGTTAGCCTTTTTTTCCCAATCTTTTTGAAGCCACCAAATCAATCTTTGGCGCATAGAGTGTAAGCGATGTACACCAAGCCAGACGCTTACTATGGATGAGGAAGGTTGCTTCCTTGTTTGTAAAGAGCATATTTAGATACGCGGAGAGAGAGGAAGTTATTCAGGTGACCCAAATACATATACATTTTAATATACGGATAGTTGTGTCCACAAAACACACTCTTGTGTTATCCTTTACTGGTGGTTCTCAAATCTGCCAATGTGCATTAAGTGATGTCAGGAGCTCTTTAAAATTATAGCTTTTCAAGCCCTGTCCCAGACTGAGTGAGTAAGAATCTGCTGGGGAAAAAGCCCAGGAATCTGATTTTGATCCAGCTCCCAGGTCATTTTGATACACAGCCGGGTTTGGGAATCACTGGTCTAGACAGATCCCAGCTATGCTTGCAGTGAGGTACGAAAGGTGTGGTGTTGATGAAACAGGATTGTATGGAGTGAGAGACACATGCAAACGCTAAAGCTAACTTCCAAAGTACTTTGATAGTGTACTCACGAAAAAATTTTAAGCAAAGTTCTTCCATCCTATGTGTACATATGGGTGGGTGGGTGGGTGAAGAGAGAGAAATGATAGGTAGATAGGTAAATAAGCAGAGTTAGATACATAAATTAGAAAAATGTTATATTATACTAATTTGTACATGTATTATAAAACATTCTAGGGGCTTCTGGGTGGCTTACTCGGTTGAGCATCTGACTCTCGATTTTGGCTGAGATCGTGATCCTAGGGTCTTGGGATTGAGCCCTGTGTCGGGCTCTGCGCTGAGCATGGGGCCTGCTTGGGCCTCTCTCTGTTTCTTCCTCTGCCCCTCTCCCCCGTTTATGCTCTCTCTCTAATATAAAAAAACAAAAACAAAAAACCAAACCACTCTAAAACAGAAATTTAAAAAGATAAGATATAAAATATCTTAAAATTTAGGTTATTTACAAATGGTACCACAAAGTTTTAAGTCATCATTAATCCTTCTGAGTTGTGGAATTCCCTCTCTTCTCTCAGAATACCTAGTTTGATTTGTGAGTGAAGGCACCAGCATCAGTCTTATAATCTTTGTAACGATTAAGTAAAGATTAGGGTAGAAAAGGTGCATAACTTAGAAAAAAATTCTACAAGGGCAGTAAAACACATAACGAGTAGTTGGATGTGAACCTGGGGATGCAGTGCTAATGTAAACTTAATGTAATGCTCTAAGGCAATTAACAGGTTCTTATATTTAGATGATTTGTCATTGGGATAGGCTTGGGTGTGAGGAATGTACTGTAGAGGGGTTATACAGTCAAAAGGTGTGAATTAGAGAAAGGAATAGGTATGGGTCACCTGGGTGGCTCAGTTGGTTGAGGGTCTGACTTCAGCTCAGGTCATGATCTTGCGGTCAGTGAGTTGGAGCCCCACATCGGGCTCTGTGCTGACAGCTCAGAACCAGGACCTGCTTTTGATTCTGTGCCTCCCTCTCTCTCTGCCCTTCCCCTGCTCACATCTGTCTCTCTCAAAAATAAATAAACATGAAAGAACATTTAAAAAAAGAAAAAGGAATAGGTACAGGCATAAGTTAAGTATGGTAGTAACCTAAGTGAGAAAAGGAGAGAGATATTATACTTTGATATATTTAGCATATAAATTATCTGTTAATCTAATTTTTTAAAACTTCCCATTAAAAATGGATTACCTAAATGCAATGGATGATATCCTGGAATAGAAAAAAATATCAGTGAAAAACTTGTGTCTGAATAAAGTCTGTAGTTTAGTTAATAGTATTGTACCAATGTTAATTTCTTAGTTTTGATGAATATACTGTAGTTATGTAAGATGTATTAGGGGGAAGTGGGTGCAAGGTATATGAGTATTCTCTGTTACCTTTGCAATGTTTCTGTGAATCTAACAAAATATTCTCAAAATAGAAAGTTTAAAAAGCACGCTGATCCTCACACTGTAGTTGAAACGCTGGTCGTTTAGGGAGAGTGCAGAGAGTCACATCTCCTTCTGCTCAATTGGGTGTCCCAGCGATCGGCACTGCTTTCACCCAACCCATGTGCAGAATGTTCTCTGTGAAGAGGGTTTGCCAAGGAAAGCTATTTGCTCTTCCACTGTGAGATCAGTTCCACTGAGGCTAGTAGGCGTCTCCAATGAAAACCAAAATTATTGTTTGCAACCATTTGAAAAAAAAGTGGAAATTTTTTAAAGTTTATTTATTTATTTTGAGAGAGAGAATGCCAGTGAGCATGTGGGGGAGGGGCAGAGAGCGAGAGGGAGAGAAAGAGAATCCCAAGCAGGCTCTGTGCTGTCAGCACAGAGCCAGATGCAGGGGCTGATCTCACAAATGGTGAGATCATGACCTGAGCCCAAATCAAGAGCCGGATGCTTAATCGATAGAGCCACCAAAAAAGTGGAAAATTTAGAGGAGAATAACTGGAGAAAGCATTTTTAATAATCCTCCCAGGTTGGAGAGAAATCATATGCATTTGTCTGCCAATATATAAATGATGAAGTACGCGAACAAGATAAATTGATTTCAAGCATTTGAGAGTTCCATCAAATTTGCAAATGTCCCTAAAGATTTTGTTATGCAATTGAGATTCAAAGAAACTACATTAAAAATGCCTGTCTTCGTATTCCCCTGACAATTCCTTCTAGGTGACGAAACACTTACAAATAAAACCTGTGACATATTTAAATGTACGTCATCATTAGTGATACATTCCCTGGGTCTGTCTACCGAGAGGACCCAAATCTTGGTACCTAAACACCATTTTCCAATAAAAGGAATCTGTGCTCCCTTGATGGTTGATTCCAGGCCTGGAGTAGGGGGAATACAGATGAGCCTGGAATATGTTGGTGATGCCAAAAAGTAAGGAAGTCCTAAAAAGGATGGAGGCTTTTTATTCTTTTTTTTTTTTAATGTGTTATTTATTTCTGAGAGAGAGAGAGTCAGCATGAGCAGGGGAGGGTCAGAGAGAGACGGAGACACAGAATCTGAAGCAGGCTCCAGGCTCTGAGCTGTCAGCACAGAGCCCGACGCGGGGCTCGAACCCATGAACTGTGAGATCATGACCTGAGCAGAAGTTGAATCCTTAACCGACTGAGCCACCCAGGTGCCCCTGGAGGCTTTTTAAAAGACACCACACCCATGTGAGAGAGTCTGAGCCAGATCAATTTGAACCATAAAATAAAATAGTGATCGCCTTGGGCTATGGCACATAGAATAAACTAAATATCTGTAAGTCTACGCTGATATAAATAATTGAATAAACAAATAAATGAAGGAAAAGAGCTAGCTCTTTGTTACAGAATACCAGTTAATCAATGTAGAAGGTATGAGGGAAATAGAAAATTGCCATTAGGCAAACAGCACAGTAATAATTATTGCAGGCAAGAAGCGTCAGTGGCTGCTAAAATGAGTAGGCAAATGAGTAATGAGAAGCAGGGTATTTGAATGGTTGCACAGTGTCTGCCCACAAGATTATTTACTAATTTCAAAGGAAACACAGTAACCTTACAGCTGAGGAAACTGGCAGACACCTCCTTTACCACCCGGTCAAGGCAAGCATTGCTAGTAATAAGACACATCAGCATGCCATACCTCCTGATGTGATGCCCTTAGTCGTGAACAACATCACCTTTGTGGTGTTCTTACCAAAAAATGCACAGCCTCAACTTAAACATGCTAAGACATTGATCTCCAAAGGAGGGTCATGGTACTCCTCAAAAGTGTGGAGGTCGTGGGAGATAAAGAAATAGCTGGGTACTGGGGCACCTGGGTGATTCAGTCAGTTAGGCGTCCAGCTTCAGCTCAGGTCATGATCTCAGAGCTCGTGGGTTGGAGCCCCACATAGGGCTCTGTGCTGATAGCTCAGAGCCTGGAGCCTGCTTCAGATTCTGTCTCCATCTCTCTCTGCCCCTCCCCTGCTGTCTCTCTCTCTCTCTCTCTCTCTCTCTCTCAAATATAAATAAACATTAAAAAAAAAGAAATAGCTGGACACTATCTCAGACAGGAGGAGACTAAGGAGACATGGTAACTAAATGCAGTGTGGGATTCTGGTTCACAGAGAGGATATCGGTGGGAAAACTGGTGCAATTCAAATAAGGTCTATAGATTACTTCATGGTGTCGTATCAATGTCCATTTCCTGGTTTGGATCCTCATGCCACTGTTCTATAAGATGTCAGGTTTAGGGCAAGCTGCTGATGGATATAGGGAACTCTCTGTATTGTTTCTGCAACTTTTTTGTTATTCTAAAATTATTTCAAAATAAAAAATACAAAATAACAAAAAAAGTGTTCAATCTTCTTTCTCCCCCTCCTCCCCCACCCCCCCCACCCCCGCCCCAAAAGGAGCACACAGAACAGAGAGTACAGTGCAAGCCCCTTAAGAGTTTTTTTCTCAGGCTTATTTTCTCACTTGCCATCAAGAATCAGCCTCTAGATGACTGGCAGCATTGAGTATCTGTTGTTACAGTGTGGCTGTGGGTGACCAGATGGAGAAGTGCTAAGCCTACAGACCATGTGGGCAGTGCTAAGAGAGAATCGATAACATAGGCATACTAACTACATTACCAAAAGTTTTTAAAACTGCTAAAGCACCTGATATTATTATCAGTGAAACTGAACTACTCACGTGCCCAGTGTCCACATTAATGTAAAATGACCAGCATTCTGTACCATACGAGCTTACACTGCACTGACATGGATTGTGATCTTAACAAATATCAGAAACACCCCGTGTTAAAGAAGCTTGGTCTGGTTATTTTTCTCTGGGGAAAGAACCAGTTGGGGTGGTGGCTGGGGATAGGGAAGTGGGAATAGTATTGTTGTTTGATCCCATCCTGCTGTACTGGAAACACGCACCAGCTCTGGTTTCCAAAACACGGGCTTAAGTGCCACCCGTTCGTTGCCTGAGTCCCCTTCTTTTGCTTGACACTTGCCTCTCTCCTGACAGTCCGTTCTGCCTTCCACTCTTCTCAGCAGGCCCTGGACCACTGGTTGAACTTCCTTCTCTCAAACACTTCTGCCTCTGTCTCCACCAAGCCGCGGCTTTCCCCTCCTCCAAAACCTGCTTAGGCTCTTCTGCTTCTCTGAATCAATCAATGACTAAACCACCCCTGCATCTAGTTATTGCAGATATACTTTATTTACCTCCTTAGCATTCTTAATACATGTTCGTGTGAATGGTATAGGTTGCTAGGTCTGTAACTGAGATCATCTAAGGTATGTTACCTGCATTAATTTGTGCTTATAATTTCATGTTATCTTTGTACCTGCTCTTATGGCTCTTCCCATATTCGTTCTAGTTCTTCTTTAGGTTGTTACCTCTTTGAGGACAAGGACCAGATGCTCTAACTCAGTTGCATATTTTACAGTGTATAATTTGATGACGTGTGCTCAGGGAGCTACCACAAAAGTCCAGAATAACAAACTATTGCATTTGCTTGCGGTTTTCTACTTGATTCAAATTATTTGAGAGAATTTTTCAGTCTTGTATACATAACATATCAAAATTGTAATTTATGATAAAGTATTATAAAGTTGGGGCTATATAAGGAGATGTTTAAATTTTTTTTTATTTATCAAAAATTTATTTATTTTTGAGAGACAGAGTGAGACAGAGCACGAGTGAAGGAGGAGCAGAGAGAGAGGGAGACACAGAATCTGAAACAGGCTCCAGGCTCTGAGCTGTCAGCACAGAGCCCGATGTGGGGCTCAAACCCACAAACCGTCAGATTATGACTTGAGCTGAAGTTGGACACTCAACCGAGTGAGCCACCCAGGCGCTCCAGGAGATGTTTAAATATAATAATAAATATCAGAAAATTTCCCTCCCCCAAAGGGACATTATAGTCAACAGCACGCTAAAATTTTTAAATTGTTTTTAAAAATTTCAGTTTAGAGACCATAAAAGAAATTTAAGAATAGTTTTAGAAAAATTTAAAAGAGCTAATCTTATGTTCTAATTTAAAAGAGCTGATCTTATGTTCTAATTTAACCTAGACTTGCACTTTCTTAAATTATTTTTAAAGTAAGATTTTTTAAAATTATTTTGTTCCCTTATAAATACAAATAATCCTGGTAGTATAACTCTTCCATTCTGCCAACAGTTTTTGAGACGCTTGCATGTCCTAACCCCTGTACTAGGTCCTGGGTTTACAACGGTAAACTACCTGATTTTGAGGCCCTCCCACTATAGATGAATTAGGAAATGGAATTTTGGAAAGAGTAAAGAGATGATGCAGAAAACAGAGTAGAGGTGGGGCTTGGTTAACCTTCAGAGATAAAGGGCAGGACATGGAGAAGTTAGAACCCTTGTGTGCTGGTAGTGAGATTATAAAACGGTACAGTCAGTCTGGAAAACAGCATAATAGCTCCTCAAAAAATTTAAAACTAGAATTATCGTACTATCCAGTAATTCCTCTTTTGGATATATATCCAAAGAAAAAATTGAAAGCAGGATCTCAAAGAGGTATTTGCACACCCGCATTCATAACCGCGTTACTTACAATAAACCACATGGAAGTCACACAAGTGTCTGCTGACAAATGAATAGATGAACAAAATGTGGTACATGCATGCAGTGGAATATTATTCAGCCTGGAATATTATTCCTTCCTTTTGGAAGGAAATTATGACACGTGTTACCACCTACGTGAATCCTAAAGACATTATGCTTCGTGAAGTAATAAGCCAGTCTCAGAAAGACCAAATACTGAATGAGTCTACATATATGAGGCATCTAGAGTAGTCCAACTCATGGAAACAGAAAGCAGAATGGTGGTTGCCAAAGACAAGGGGTAGGGGAAATGGTAAGAGTTGGCATTTAATAGGTATAGAGTTTCAGTTTTGCAAGATGAAACTTATAAAAAGTTTGCAACTTTAAAACTAGTTCTCCATACTGGTTGAACAACAAGACCAATATACTTAACAGTATTGAACTGTATACTTGGAAGTGGTGAAAATGGTAAGTTTTATGTCATACATTTTTTTTTGCTACAGTGAAAATTAAAAATAAAACAAATAAACAGAGAGAGAAAGGAAGTCAGAGCTACATAAACCTGGCCCCTGAGGAAGGGGACTCTGATTTTTGTTATGAGCAAGAGATGAGGTATTTTTTTATATTGTTGAATCTGAAGTGCTGGCCTCCCAGCAAAAATATCTAGGAGGTATTGGATGTAACAGGATCAGGGCTAGAAATATAGTTTGTTATCCACACATTACAAGTACTTAACTGTAATAGATTTTAATGAGGTCAGCTATGGAGAGTAAGAAATACAAAACTCCGTGAAGGATAGAATTCCAGGTTCCAGGTCCCAGATGGCAGATAGAAAAAGATCTGAAGAAGAGAAGCAGCAGCCAGAGATTTAGAGGAAAATATCAGGCACAGGTCCAGTAAGGTAAGGAAAGAAAAGTTACCTGGATGATTTGTTACCCAGTCAGCCTTTGGTCGCCTTGCCCTGGTAGCCATATTGGTGGTGGCAAGGGTCTTCTGTCCCTTCCCCAGGAGCCATCTCCCCACACAAGGGCTCTTAGCTGTGGTTCATGGACTCTCTGGAGTCTGTGGGCTTTAGGATGTCTAGGCAAAATGTTGTATGAATGTGCTTTTCTTCTACAGAGAATCTCCATGGCTTTTACCAGATTCTCTGTGATCCAACAAAAGCTCCATGTCCCATCATTGCATGTGGAGTAAAGATCTAGTATGTCTGCTACCCTGACTTCACTCAGATTATTAATGTAATTCCCATCTCTGGCCATTTTGAGAACACAATCATACGTTATAATATTGTTTTCTATGGAAGATATCGGTCACGTTCTTTTTTTGTTTTTTACAATTTTTAATTTTTTTAATGTTTATTTTTGAGAGAGAGACAGAACACGAGTGGGGGAGGGGTAGAGAGAGAGGGAGACACAGAATACAAAGCAGGCTCCAGGCTCTGAGCTGTCAGCACACAGCCCGACGTGGGGCTCACAAACTCACAAACTGTAAGGTCATGACTGAGCTGAAGTCGCATTCCTAACTGACTGAGCCACCCAGGTGCCCCAGTATCAGGCAAGTTTTGAAGTAGCATACAGGTGAACTCATTGTATTTAAGTTGGAGACTTTTACACACTTTAAATTTCAGTGGTTAGTCATGAGGGTAGAGTAAGGTAGAATCAACCCAAAAGTCAAATGCACATGTGGCATTTTCAGGACCCACCCCCATTCCCTTAAATTTTACCTTTTACCGTCAAAAAGCATGGTATGTACTTAACTTTTATTCAGATAATCTCTCTATATCTCAGTTTCCTCATTTCTAAGTGAGTTAATAGCTGCCAGATATTATATAATCTAACAAATGAATTTCACTTGCATAAACAAATGTTTTTATTAACAAGTTTTTACATAATTGCCTTTCTGATTTTAGCATTTTCCCACATATCTTATGTGCAGTGTGATCATTTTTCTTCTACTTGAATTAGACCACTCTGAGTTCATACATCGGGTGAATTTTGCAGATTCACTGGGAAGGAAAACATAAATTAATGCACAAAAATCCATCCCGACTTTTGGAAAAGCACTTTGGAACAGCCAGGGAGAAGACATTCACATCTTAAGAAATTAATCGGTCATACTTGATTAACACTGTTGTTGATATTATGCCTCACAGAACTGAGGCCACATTTCAGCCTCGCGTCTGAGAGTGATACCGCGGATCAAGAAGACTTGGAGGCTGAAGATGAGCATGAGGAACAGCCCTCAAACCAAACCGTCCGAAGGCCTCATGCTGTCATCGAAGATGCCGTGGCTACCTCAGGGGTGAGCACGCTCAGTTCTACCGTGTCCCATGACTCCCAGAATGCTCACCGATCACTCAGTGTGCAGCTTGGAAGGATGAAAATAGAAACTAATAGGTAAGTCCTATTCTCACGTGGGTGGCTTTCATTTCCCTTCCTTTTATATAAGTGCATTTAGGTCTTCTTTAACATTTGGGCCACAGAGAATACAAAATATGATTCCTTTATCCCATCCATGTAAACTTGGTTTGATACCTTTATCAAACAAGAGCGATTTGTCTTAGTCTCCTTTGTCAAAATCATTTTCTGCTTCTAACAATTCAAGCCTTGTTCAGCACCAGTCCTTTGCTTACTGCTTTATCTGCAAGTACTCTGAGATTTTCAAAGTAGTTGTAACTTCAGAGACTATCTTGGACACAGACTCAGAACAGCATGTACCATCCAGGAGATAGCTGAAAGACAGACAGAAAATTCATGTTCTTGAAATCCCGTGATTTGGAATATCTCATTATTTTAGGAGAGGAAGATCTCTGTTCTTGAAAAGATAAATTTAATGGTGCTAAAGCTTTGCATTTCAGACCCTTGAAAGAATGAGCAGTTGACCACATTTAGGATTCTATTTTATTTGGAATATGCTGTGTCCTATCTGGACTTTAATTTTTCTTTGAGACTTTGGTAATGTAAAATCTACATGTTAAGGTGATTAAGTGAAGAGTAAATATTTCCTGTTCTTCACAGGTGTTGGCACAGTTCAGGGGCCAAGTCTATGATTTATAGCTTCCTGGTGCTGGCTACAGTTGACATGTGGGCAACTGACTTTCTGACTCTAGGTTTATAGTTTATAGTAAAACCTTTTTTTTTTTTTTTGGTGTGAATCAATAAAAGTTCAGATATTTAGTTGAAAATTGTAGTTGTTCACCGGGGAGATAAACGCATTTTATTTCTAGTCATAAGTTTAAGTTTTTAAAGTTCAGCTTGAATACTAAGCTTAGTATGAACAGTACAAAGCTCCTCCTATACTCAGAAACATGAAATTTGGTTGTATAATTAGGTAAATCCATACGTGTCACCTGTGCTTTGCATAGAGCAAACTCTTTCTGAACAAAGAGAAAATGGCTTTCTGACTTCCAGATCTTAATCCTGTCCTCTGAAGCCCAGGTTTTTCTTGGCATCAAATCTTTAGTGGAGGAATTTGAGTCTTTTCTCCTCTGAGACTCCCTTCAAAACCCTCAGTGCCCTTCATTCCCTCCTCTTGTCAGACAGAACCCCAGTCACGACACTGCGTCCATTAGAGTAGGTGTTAACTTTAGTCATCTTTCTTTTTAGTTTATCCTCTGCCATCCAATCCCGAGTGAACTGTTGTATATACCCCTCTCTGATCTCTGGAGGGGGAATGTTCACTCCTTACTGTTTTGGACCATCCCCAACTCCTCCTCCACCCATGGTCAGAATTATACATGCAATAAAGCGACATTATTTACCAGTAAGCTGGTATATTTGCTTCTCTGGCCCTAAAACCTTCTGTCTATATACCTTAGCTTATGTCAACAGAACCTGCCTGTCCTTAATGCAGCCTTTTCCTTCTCTCCTTAGACAGACCATGAGAGTTCTCCTGGCTTACGCCCTGTCCACGTCCTCTGTCCGCCATACTTGCACCATCCGCCATCTCTCAGGGCTGCTTTCCTGAGGGGAATGGCTGGCTGAGGGCCTCCTTCCCACATGTGTGCATCTCTGCTGAAAAGGCTACAATTTGCCCTGTTTCTTCTTTGCTTTAGGAGCATGGTTGCATTTTTCACAATAGCCCATACAATTCTCTACATATTTACACTTACATCTGTGAAATCTACAGATTGAGTCTCCTTTTTCTGTTTCTAGTAATACCACCTCACGCATGAAAAAACAAGGCAGCTGTTCTGGTACTAGTACTAAGCAATGGAAATGAGAGATTGATCATGTCTGTAGTTTTTAGTGGATGATTACTTGATCTATAGAAGTTCATCTGTTGCAAAATAAACGTAGATGTCAGATTGTTTTTAGGAAAGGTTGCAGCCCTCACATTAGTAATCTTAAGTTTATATTTAGGATAATCACTGATGAAGGTAAATCAGGTTTATCCAGCTCTTGATTATTAGATCACCGATAATAACACCAAATGGAGAAAATAACCTGATGGCTTTAGAATGTATGTTTTACATATATTTCCCTATATGTTTACATAAAATGTTCTGGAAATAATTCACTTCACAGCAATTATTGGGACAGTAATGCAGGATGATAAAGCAGGGTTAGCTAAAATTTAACTCGCCCACAGCTGACTGTTTATCTAGGAACGATTCCAGAATTACCTACCCCCACCCATCTGAGTTAAAAAATCAACCTCAGGGCAGATGCTTACCAGACTTTTCTGGAACAGAGGGGCAGGCAATTGCCTTAATTTTGAAGAACTTCCCTGTTAACTTGAAGGCAAAGGAAAAATAAAACTGATGGACTAGGTTGGATACATTCTTAAATAATTTTTGAGAGCTGGATTTGGGACAAATGAAGTGGCCTGTTAGTGCCCTTCTTCCAATGTTCGGTTCTGGCTTTTAAAGGTAAAAAAGAAAATATCTAGTCTAGACTCACATAGGTGAAATTCTAGAAGAAGTCGCTGTGTTCTTAAAGAAAACAAAAAAGAATATTCCATCACTATTCCATACATGTAAATTAGCAAGGAAGACAAAACCAACAAATTGCCAATTTAAAATTCATGCTGAGCTTGCTATCCATTTCTTTGAATATGAGTCTTGCTGGTGTAGATAAAAGTTTCCCTTGATCCTCTGCTTTCCTCTCAATTTCGCTTCCTCCTGCTCAGTCCACCTTATTGTGTACTGCTTACTCCGCAGTTGCCTTTTTAAAAATTTTTTAATGTTTATGTATTTCTGAGAGAGAGAGAGAGAGAGAAACAGAGTGTGAGTGGGGGAGGGGCAGACAGAAAGAGGGACATAGAATATGAAACAGGCTCCAGGCTCTGAGCTGTAAGCACAGAGCCCGATGCAGGGTTCACACTCATGAACCCTGAGATCATGACCTGAAGTCAGAAACTTAACCAACTGAACCACCCAGGCGCCCCTCCGCAGTTGTCTTTAAACAGCCAGTCTTCCTCAAACCACTTTCTCTGTCTGCCTTACAAGAGTTTTCCTTTTTGTCCCGCTTCTGCTGCCCTTCTCTACTCTGATCCCTTCTCCCGAGGGCCTCACATCTCTGTCCTGTGGGAAAGGAGAAGGAACCCCTTGCGAGCCCTGGGAGGGTCCTGTTCCCGGGCCCTGCGGCTGCAGCAGGAAACAGAATCGCCCTCACTGAGGGCCAGGCCCTGTCCTTAGCACGTTAGCTACAGCTGTCTCATTTTAGCTACAGCTGTCTCATTTAACGTTCACAGTCATTCTTTAGGGAAGTTTTCCTTTTCCTTTTCACAGAAGAGAAAACTGAAGCCCAGAGGCACTCAGTAATTTGTCAAAGTTCACACAGGAAGTGTGTGGCCGAGTCAGGATTCAGGCCCAGGGCTGACTTCCAGCTCGGCCTGTGCTGCCGTCAGAACATGTCGACTGAAGCAGAAACAGACTTTTGGACCGTCCTCTGCTCCTGACTTCAGTCTCTCCGTACCCAGAAAATGAAACAAACACAGTGTGCTCAGGGCTGTAGGGCACACAATTATTTATCTTGATGATCTTATGAATAACTATGTACCTTAACTTTCTAGAATTCTGAATCCTAGTGACACAAAGGTAGTTTTCTAAAAATATCAGAGCCTCTCCCATCCTAACTTGGAATTTGTTTTCAGAGAATGGTGTTAGAAGCGGTGAGCAGGTCACTGGGTGGCTCTCCGTTGCATAGTGAACGTTGTATGGGTGAAACCATGGCATCAGTGATATGTTACTTTCTCCTTGTTTCTTTGGAGAATGTATCAGATGCCAACTAAGAAGGAATGTGCCAGGAACACAGCTGCCCCTTTACCCACTTCACCAGCCTCCTTAGGATGCAGAGGAAGGACAGTAATGTCCACAACAATCCTAGCAACAACCATTAACATTTACTGAGTACTTGTTATGTGCCAGATACTATAGGTGACCTCACCTGTAGTTTACTTCTCACATTTTCACTGTTAAAAAAAATGACCATCCTTCTGCTTTGCGTTGATTATTATATCATCCATCATCAGCTTTTTTAAAAATATATTTATTTATTTTTGCAAAAGAGAGACAGAGTGTGAGCAGGGGAGGGGCAGAGAGAGAGGGAGACACACAATCAGAAGCAGGCACCAGGCTCTGAGCTGTCAGCACAGAGCTCAACATGGGGCTCAAACCCACGAACCGCAAGATCATGCCCTGAGCCGAAGTTGGACACTTAACTGACTGAGCCACCCAGAGACCCGTCATTGGCTTTTTTTGATGAGGAGTCACACTTACAAAATATAGGTCTGTTAATATTATATACATTTTAGTTTAGTTTATTTATGTGCCATTTATGGCCATAAAAAGAAACAATAAAGCATCTCTGAAGATTTTGGCATACGGTCGGGGTGGAGGTTTTGAATTCTTGTCTGGAAGTACAAGTCTTCTAGAGCTTTGCTACTTTAACATGGGGGTGGAGGAGGGGTGATCTGTGCACCTGCAACATGAGAATCACCTGGAAGCTTATTAGAAATGCAGAATCTGAGGGCTCCTGGCTGGCTCAGTCAAGAAGAGCATGCGACAAGATCTTGATCGCCAGGTCATGAGTTTGAGCCCCATGCTGATTATAGAGATTGCTAAAAAAATAAATAAATAAGCCTCAAAAAATGTAGACTCTCAGACTTACCCCCAAGAACTACTGGAACAGGATCTGTATTTCAATAAAATCCCAGGGGTGTCGTGTTCCTTATAACTTGAAAAGCCCATATCTAGATGTAGAAGGTCACTCTGGCTACTCCAGCTTTTATATCCTGTCAACTAATAGAATTTTCTTTTTCATGAGGTGCCTGGGTGCCTCAGTTGGTTAAGAGTCTGACTTTCGCTCAGGTCATGATCTTATAGTTCACAAGTTCGAGCCCTGTATCTGGCTCTGTGCTGACGCTCAGTGCCTAGAGCCTGCTTCAGGTATTGTGTCTCCCTCTCTCTCTCTCCTTCTCCCCTACTCCTGCTCTCTCTCTCTCTCTCTCAAAAATAAATCAACATTAAAAAATTTAAAAAAATATATACATATAATTTCTTTTTTCAGATTGCTGGAAGAATTGGTTCAGAAAGAGAAAGAATTACAAGCACTCCTTCATCAAGCTATTGAAGAAAAAGACCAAGAAATTAAACACCTGAAGCTTAAATCCCAACCAATAGGTGAATAACAGAAAATTTAGAAGTCATACTGTTACACCAGGCAGCCACACAAAGCTGAGGTGGCCAATGGGCTTTTTATTTCGTGGCTTAATTGGCATCTGTCACTTATACCACAGCTACAAGCAGAAATTGCTTTTAAAAAATATCCAATTCTTATTTGTAGCAAACTGTAATTTTGATACCTTAATTTCAAAGAATGATTCATGGTCATCTTTTCCTGAGATTATTTGAGGTAAATAGGGCTCTCCACTTTTTTGGTCTTCATTTCTTTTTAAAAATTTTGTAATGAGAGGGGCGCCTGGGTGGCTTAGTCGGTTAAGCGTCCGACTTTCGCTTAGGTCATGATCTCGCGGTTCGTGGGTTCGAGCCCCGCGTCGGGCTCTGTGCTGACTGCCAGCTCAGAGCCTGGAGCCTGTTTCAGTCTGTGACTCCCTCTCTCTCTGACCCTCCCCTGCTCACGCTCTCTCTCTCTCTCTCCTAGAAATAAAAAAGAAAAAAAAAAAAATTAAAAATTTTGTAATGAGATTACTAGAATAAAATAATCGTATTTTTGTCATTTTTGCCTTTATATCTTGTCTATCCTGGGTTATTTCCCATATTATTGCAAATAGTGAAAAATGAGACCATTATGTAATTACATGGGTCTTTGCTAATTATTCTCATGTTTGTTGTGTGAAAAACACACAGTATAATTTTGGTGCAATACATTTATTCTAAGAAAGTAAAATTGATATGAAGGTATGAGGTGGGAGTCTCATGACATTATTGCTTCTGCCTCTCCATTTATTAGTCGTCTTTAAGAGTTTTGTTTATATTACCACTTATACTGCCGATCTCTGTTCTTTCTATTATACTCTGATAGAGCAAAATCTTTTAAAGTATTGATAAATGTCACTCCAGTGGTGGGAGGGCCTCAGAGGACCTCTGGTAGGAGAAGCTAAGAATGCCCTTCCTTCCCCAATTCTGTCCTAGATATTCCCGGACTGCCTGTGTGTCACCGGGCTTCCCCCGGCACAAATGCTGAAGAGTCGGAACTTGCTGAGTGGCTGAGAGAAAAGGGAGCTGATGAAGACACTATAAATCGGGTAAAGAAAACTGTCTGTGGGACAAGCTTTTTTTTGGCTTCATAATGTTGAGTGCCTACTGTGTACTGGGCACAGGGCATGAACACTGGTGAGCAACTCAGGCCCAGGCCTGCCCTTCTGCGGCTTACAGACTAGGGTCTTCAGATGGAAATCAAATAATTCCACAGATAAAAGCCTAAGGATACCCTCATAAACTCTATGAAGGAAAGGTTATCAGAAGTTGGGAGACAAAGGGAGAGGTTGAGGAAAGTTCTCTTAGGATGTGGTGAATGAACTGAAGTCCAAAGGAATACGTAGGAATAAACCAGGCTGCCTGCATGTGTATTTGGGGAGGGGCAGATGAGAAGGGAAAATCATTCGGGGATAGGGGTACAGTATGTGCAAGACAGGGAGGTGGGCAGAAGCTCTGTGGTCTAGGACCCCTAAGGATTTTTATATTTTGGAATTGAAGATAAGGAAGAGTAGAAAAATCAAGACAAAACTAAAATTTTAAACTTTCCAATTCTCTCGTTTAACTTTTAATTCTCTCGCAACATTGTTTGACTCTGCTGGGCAGTAGCTCTGTATTGATGCTTAAAAAAATAGATCTAGTCAGTCAACCTGTGTCAGGAACACACACTTTCTCTCTCAACCGTACGATACCTGTAATAACCTAATTCCTGTCTGCTCCTTACAGACTTTGGTCATCAGCATGATAGCACTTATGGTTTAAGATTGCATACATGTAAATACACACACAAACATACACATATATATACATACATGTATATACACACATATGTACATACACACAATAAGAGATTATATCTTTTATAGAAAGGGCTCCCGTAACAATATTACATTAACTTTAGTTTTCTATTTAATTTTTTCAAATAACTAAGAATAAAGATGTCTTTTCTCTTTACTCAATAATTTATTGATTTACTGGATAAAATTTAGGGTTTCCTTAGAAATCTGCATTGAACAGGCTATGGCTGCATAAATTTAAACAACTTTCTTACTTCTGGGGAATAATGCATCCATTCAAGTTCTCCAAAATATTTATTCCTGGAACTAAAACTCAAATCACAATTAAGGGGCAGTAACTGATGGTCCACTAAATCATTGCCCCCCTTTTTAAAAATTAAATATTAAAGCTTCCTGGGGCACCTGGGTGGCTTAGTCGGTTAAGCGTCCGACTTTGGCTCAGGTCATGATCTCACGGTTCATGGGTTTTCAAGCCCCGCGTCAGGCTCCGTGCTGACAGCCAGCTCAGAGCCTGGATCCTGTTTCAGATTCTGTGTCTCTTTTTCTCTCTGACCCTCCCCTGCTCTCTCTCTCTCTCTCTCCCTCTCTCTTTCTCTCTCAGAAATAAATAAAACATTAAAAAAATTTTTTTAAATTAAAGCTTCCGTTTAAATTCAGGACTCTGATTATACAGTAATTATTAGAAAATACCTTTTATTAGCTGTGAAAAATAAGTTTAGAGGTTAAATATCTACAATACCTTTCCAGGAACACTTTTAATCCACTTGAGAAAAATAAACACAGCCACAAACCTCTAAAATAAAAACTTATCTTACAAACAGCAGATGTCCTTACAAATGAATTTTATCTATTCATTAGAAGGCTATTCCGAAATTGTGTTGCATGTAATCTTTACAACTTGGAAGTCATACAGATGTATTTCTTTGTAATTATTTTATAACCGGGGGAGGGGACTTTTCCCTAATAATTCCAGAAGATTATGTTTTTTAGTAGATATCCTTTTAGATTTATTTTTAAATGATTACCAATGTCCATATTATGGATAGAGTTTATTATTTATTAAAGGTGGGTAAAACATCTGACTTTGGTGCATATGTTACTTTCTCCACAGTTTCTGGCTGAGGATTATTCTCTAGAGGATGTTCTCTACTGTGTTACACGTGATGATTTAAAATGCCTGAGACTAAGGTACCACTGCTCTTTCTATTCTTTTTTCATAATGGAAATTGCGCTGGGCGGGAAAGTCTGGGCTCCTGCCCTCGCTGGGCCCCTCGCCTGCTCTAAGCAGCCGAGAGATCTTGGGCCCCACTCTCCGGTTCTCACCTGCTCCGAGTAAACTGAGTCCATTGGACCAGGCGATTACCAGGCACTCTTATAACCAGTATTTCTATATTAGTAAATGCAAATCAACTAAAAGAATTTCTTGTTATGTAATACAGCAGACTGAGACTATGAGGTTCTTTTAAAGCTGCCTTAAACACTCTAGTTTAGTTCATGATAATGCCATACCTATTAGAAATATTAGGATAGGGGCTGATTTGCCATCCACATATCATGTATATAACCTGATACAGTTTCTTAGGACCGTTTTTTTCTGTCAGGCCAAGCATATGCGTAACTGACTCACACAGATCTCCGTAAAGACACATTCCAAGAATGCTGGAAATCTAAAATGATGCTTTGGGATGGGGCGCCAGGGGTCTCAGTCGATGAAGGTCTGACTTCAGCTCAGGTCATGATCTCGCGGCTCGTGGGTTCAAGCCCCACAGCAGGCTCTGTGCTGACAGCTCAGAGCGTGGAGCCTGCTTCGGATTCTGTGTCTCCCTCTCTGACCCTTCCCAGCTCACACTTTCTCTCTGTCTCTCTCTCAAAAATAAATGAACATTAAAATAGTTTTTAAAAAATAAAACAAAATGATGCTTTGGGACCTGCTAGTTTGTGGAGGCGGAAAGGAAAAGCACGGAGGGCTGACGAGAAAATATGTACAAAAAGAATACGCAATGACTGATAAGACTTGGGGATCTGCATGTTCTGATCAGAACAGCTGGAGCCTACGAAGTCACTATTCTATATCAAGGGCAAGGTTTCAAATGAAGTGCCCTCTTCTTGTGTCTCTAACCAGGGGAGGAATACTCTGCACGCTGTGGAAGGCCATCACTGACTTTCGAGACAAACGGACTTGACCATCGCTCAGTTTGTTTTCAAACTGGAGATTCCAGCAATACAGAACTGATCTTCTTGGGGAAGGGAGAGGAGAAAGGAGCTGCACTTTAAATCCAGTATTTGTTTACTCGTGTTTAAAAAAAAAGAGAAAATACACTGAACTGCTTCTATTTCTAGAATTCATAAGGACTCTTTGTAAGGACTCTCCAAAAATAATCCTAAACATTAGGATGCTGAAGACTATTTTAGTCTAAACGTTTTTATGGAGATATTTTTCACTCAGCACCTACTGCACCTCAGCCCAATGTTTATTTCACACGAAACAGATAGAACATTTCACGGGATTGTGCATCACTGGAACAAAACCAAAATGTGACCATGACTTTTCAGGCTTATGTGTGTTTGTAAGATACTCTGAGTAGAAATGCGTTAAGTTCCATTACTGTATAAAGTTTATGTTTTTTTTTTTAAGTGTGCAGAATCTGAAAGCAATGGTTTGTACTTACTTATCTGTATTAATTGTAATATTGAGTATATTTTGTAACTTAAGTTTCTGGCCCCTAGTACATCCGTTTGAGTCGTTTATGTACTACTGAACTGTGCCAGTTGTACATGCGTGAATCACAGTAATGTTAGCTTGTTCTAAAGCTACCCATTGTGTCATATTTACTCCAGTAAGTAAAAAGACTCTTAACAGACTGTTTGATAAATTCTAAAGGATTCTTATTTTGCTTTGACAAACAAGATAAACTACTGTGTCAAATTTCTAGTTGTTTCTTCTGCTCTGATATTAAATAGAATCTGTCTTCTATTCAAGTCATCAAAGAACAACTGATAACGCAAGCTGTCTCTCAGGACAACAGAATGGTGAGAGAGAGGGCAAAGACAAAAAGAATTTATATAAAAGAAAGTCCCTGTGTTTTTCTCAAGGCTCCAGGTTCTCTTGAGTAACTAGTGTATGTCTCAGAGGGTGTGCAGATGGCATCCCAATGGAGAATGCTGCATTTTTCTGCCTCCTTAATTTCAGTTCTCATATTTCAGGGAACTGTTTCTGTTTTAAGCTGAATATTATATTTTCTCAGCCTGCCCATATTAATAGGGCAAAGTCTGAAGCTCCTAGATAGATGGATGAGATAAACACACTTCTTAGATACAGAGGAATCTGTTATTCAAGATAGACATAACAGAGCTGTTCATGTACCATGAGTTGACCTGTACATATATAACATTCTTTGATAAAACAGGAGTCATCTTTATTTCTATGTGAAAATCAAAGTCCAGTATATCTTATGTTGCATAGACTGCACAGAAAGTTCTCACGGTTATTTTCTCATTTGATACTTGCAGCAACATTGCTGCATCTTTTTTTACAGCCCAATCCCAAGGACAGATAGATGCCTCCTGTAACCTGTGGGAAAATTTTGAAGGAGGTGAGATATAAATGATATGTCATTTCATTCATACTGAGACATAGCATAATTCTTAACTAAGCCACAGTTCGCATCTGCAATTCTAATGGTTAGGTTCTTCTTTTAGGTTGTATATAGGATCCAGGGGTGCCTGGGTAGCTCATTTGGTTAAACCATCAGACTTTTGGTTTTGGCTCAGGTCACGATCTCATAGTTTGTGAGATTGTGCCTTGTGTCAGGCTCTGTGCTGACAGTGCACAGCCTGCTTGGGATTCTTTCTCTCCCTCTTTCTCTGCCCCTTCCACACTCTCTCTTTAAATAAATATTTTTTTTAAAAAAAATTGTATATTAGGATCAAGCTACTCATCTTCAACCAATTCTTTATTGATATTGTCTTTCCTTGTGATCTTCCTCCTACCCTATCTTCATGGGCAAATGTTTTCTCTATCCCTACATGGTTCATTAACACATTTCTAGGCCAGCATCAGGTTTTTGTCAGAATTTTAGGCCCTAGTCACAAAAGAAGGCAGTTCCACTATGGCCCAGGTTTCATTAACAGTTGCACTTGAAAGGCATTTGGCATTTGGCATCAATCTAGGCCAGTGATTCTCAACCCAGAAAAGACTGGGATGCTTTTTAAAAAAGATCGATGCCACCACCTCAGAGAAACTGTTTTTATTGATCTGGGGTAAGGCCCATAGATCCTTTAAAAAAGTTCTACAAAATGATTTAACACTACCAAATCCCACCTCCTCATTCCAAGAGACACCTGGAGAGAGAAATGGAGAGCCTCTTTCCACAGAGATGGTAGTAAGATGGTTACTATTCATTGTTCATCTAGCGTAGCAAGAGGCTAGACACATAGGCCTGGTGCAAAGTGCAGTTTGACCTTGGGCAAAGTAATTAACCTCTCCAAGTCTCATTTTCTTCATCTGAAATGGGCGGAATAATGTACCTCCCTTATAGGGTTGTTGTGAGATTTAAATAAAATAACAGGTAAGATGCTTGGTGTATTGCTTGGCAGAGAGTGAGCGATCAGACCTGCCTCTGCTGCTGTTTCTTATCATTCATTCAGCAGTCTTTATACTGTGGTGCGTGAACAAGGCACAGTTCTTGCAACATGAAGTTCACTGTCACAGGTGGAACAACAGTACACGTAGTAAAACAAACCAAAACCAAAACCAAAAAACAGCGCACAGTAAGTACTATAGTTACATCTGACTGCCAACGGGTGGGGCCAAGGAGAATTGCTGGCTCCAGAGAAGCGAGGCCCAGAGCTGTGCCTGGAAAGATGGTTTGTAACCAAACAGCTATGCATGGGTGGTGGTAGTCTCATAAGAGAACTAAAACCGGAATTTGCTGGGAAAAGTAGATCCCGTATTTCTTTTGAGCCATATTTTGATTTCTTGCTCCAAGTTCTGTCATTGCATATTTGTTTCTTTCATTCCTAAGCCATTGCATAAAACAGTTTGGCAAGGAGGAATTCTTATTTAAAGCACTGGAATGCCTACTATGTGTGAGGCAATGCAGCAGCAGCAGCAGCAGCAGCAGGAGAGATCTACATGATGCCTGTGGAGTTCAGAACACAGGCAGCAGGCATTAGGTCACTGGGGACATCTGCAATTTGTAAACAAAGTAATTGATGGCTCCAGACTTTAGAAACCCCCTATAGAGAAACAGAAGACAAGGTCCTTGCCACCAAGTAATTCATATCATATCGAAGAGACAAATTTGCAATAACAAATCACACCTAGTCTGTGCTAAAGGCTAGATGATTGCAAGCCCAGAAAAACCTGGAGACCTCAAGCTGGCCAGGAGCTCGGGCAGGTGCAACGGGCTTTCCTGAAGAGGGACTCCTCAACCTGGGTATTGGAAAGAAGGAATTCAGTAAGTCAGTACTGGGGAAGTCAAATCAGGGTAGAGAGTTCTAAGAACAAAGTCAGGAAGCAGGGATTTGCAAGATGTTCTGGAGAAAGTGAACTACTTTTATATTACATTAGAGCACACCAAAATTTTAGCTCTTAATGCATATTTGGCTAGAAATAGCTCTAGAGAGGGGGATGATGGGGATGATGGTCAGGAAGGCAAGTGGAGTTGGTTTAATCATGTAGAAATGGGAGGGGCACCTGGGTGGCCCAGTAGATTAAGCATCTGACTTTGCCTCAGGTCATGTTCTTGCGGGGTTCGTAGGTTCGAGCCCCACATCGAGCTTTGTGCTGACAGCTCGGAGCCTGGAGGCTGCTTTGGATTCTGTCTCCCTCTCACTCTTTGCCCCTCCCCTGCTCATGTGCTCTGTCTCTTACTCTCTCAGAAAATATTTTTAAAAAAATGTTTAATTATGCAGAAATGGGGAATCTATTAAAGCTTTCTGAGCAAGAAAGGGGTTGTGTAAAGTAGCGTATGAGACGATTGATCTAGTGAAGTTGTGTTGGGGTGATTAGATCAGAAATTGGACAGAGCAGTTCAGAGACTGTTTTAGATGTGAATGAAGGTCTAGTAGCAGAGCAGTAGGAATTGAGAGGGTGGAATGAAAACCATGAATTTACAAGATTTGGGAACTATGATTTGGGCAGTGACGGTAAGGGAGAGGAAAGAATAGATTGAAGCTATGTGAGTAAGAGAAGAATTCAAACACAGACAAGTTTCAAGGGAGGTTTTCTGAGAAGATGAATCAGTGGCAGAACATGATGACAGAAATGTGCAGAGACCATTGAGAATGTATTGGTGGAAGTCAGGACTGAGGTTAAGGGTATATATTCTGAATCTAAGAGTCACCTTGATGGAGATCATAGTAAATGAGGGCTACGGAAGTGGTGTAAGCCAAAAAGAAGATGATCAGGGTATCTAGTGCAGCAGAAAATGTAGGGGAATGATGGATTAAAAAATAATAGGTAAATTTGATTTTGTGACCTGGAAAGTTTTTATAGACAGGCAAGAAAGACTTACAAAGCAGGTTTAACAAACACAGTGGCACCAGAGTCCACACATTATCTTTGGTGAACAAAATGTACGACAATAGATTCGGGAGGGTGGGATGTCAAGGAAAGAAATGTTCAGAATCAAGGAGCCCAGTGTACTTGTTGAGTTCGAGCCTCTGAATGGAGATGCATTTTAGTAGTAGGGAGAAGAGAGGAATGAGGTTTCAAAGGAGGCGGGGGTGTGTGTGGGGGGGTGTGGGGTGTGGACAGCATCAAGAGGTCTGGCTCCTCCCCTGGAAAGGGGAACAGTGATTATTCTGAGAGATGCTGAGATGGGTGTGGAAACTCAAGACAGATGGCTTCTCTATTCTAAGTACAGCACGAAGTACAACGGGGTGGTGTGTGACATTTAACAGATGTCATCCCTTACTGCATTTTCATGCAACAGACCACTCTGTTACAGACACTGCATTAAGTTTGAAACACATATCGTATTCAGGGCTTAAGTATAAGATCTGGGTGTGTTTCTTACAGCGCTTATTTTTGTGTAACTGACAGACCGAAAAATAAGTTAACAAAAGAATGCAAGAGATAAGCACATATCCCAAATAAACAAAACCACCACACACACACACACACACCCACACACACCCACCCACCCACCCCAGTAAGTCTTGCTTCGGTGGAGAGGGTGGGGGTAGGAGATCTATCAAAGCAAGAATTCATTGGCTTACTTAAGTAGGTCATAAATCAATGGTCTTCCAGAGTTCAACTCTTTAGATTCAAGTAAGAGAATCTTTCTCATGTTCACAGGAAAGTGTCTCAAACTCTGATGACTTCATGCAGTAAAAAATATCTGCTGAGATCCAAGCTGAGGTCTGCCACTACCTCCACCCACCTGGTACTTTATTTTCATTGATTAGACAGACATCTGATTAAGAGTGATGTGAACCTGATTTAGGAAGATCACATAGCTAAATGCTCAGTCTGCCTAACACACTGTAGAAATGGCACTAAGGGAAAATCCATAGTAATGGATCACTATGCCAAACCACAGCATCAGCGTCCCTTACACAAAACCCCTGCCGGGGCGCCTGGGTGGGTCAGTCCCTTAAGCGTCGGACTTCAGCTCAGGTCATGATCTCACAGTTTGTGGGTTCCAGCCCTGGGTCGGGCTCTGTGCTGACAGCTCAGAGCCTGGAGCCTGTTTCAGATTCTATGTCTCCCTCTCTCTCTGACCCTCCCCTGCTCAACACTGTCTCTCTCTAATTGAAAAATAAATAAAATAAAATAAAATAAAATAAAATAAAATAAAATAAAACAAAACAAACCACCTGCCAAGTCAGCCAGTGAACAGTAAACCAATAAAAACAGGCTACTCCTGAGCTGAGTGGTGGGGTTTTTACCCAAGGATGGTGAGAACTGTCATCGCATTA